GTGTATTCGTGTTCCCATTGGTGACGAGTTTCAAATCAGCCAATGAGAGCATGATTTTATATCCGGGACTTGAATTTGCCCCCCATTAGCTGCGTTCCCAATTTTTAAACTCGATGCCTCCTCTAGTGTTATTTATAATCTCTATGGTAATTTGGCCATGACGTTGCTACCCAGCTTAACTACATTGGATAACACGAATGAATGAGTGCTTTATTTAAGCACGGTAAAACGCACCAGGATTTACATATTTTAATTATTTAATATGCACTATTTACAACACAAGAAAGAGTGGTTTATCAGATATAATACACTAGGCGACAGCCGAGTGTTTTATATCTGATAAAGCACGGACTGCGAGTGTTTTAAATAGCTCAGAAATCAAAACAAAAGTTGATGTAAATGAACATGATTTTTTTATCACATATAAAACCACCGACACGGCAGTGATTTCCTTTATCTTTTCCTCGTGAATTATTAATTAATGAGTTTTTTAAGTACTATTTAAAAAACGAGCAGGAGTGTTTTATTAGGTTTAAAGCCACGAGCGCGCAGCGCGAGTGGCTTTAGACCTAATAAAACACGACCTGCGAGTTTTTTTTTAAGTGGCTTCAAAAACGTTTGCATAATAAGTCAAATCTTTATATAAAAATCTTTATATAAAAATCTTTATATAAAAATCTTTATATAAAAGTCTTTATATAGTTTGCATAACAATGGTCTTGTGTTAAAGTGTTCTTTAGCTCGTATAAAGACGTATGCACGTGACTAATTTCTTACTCAAGATTGGATAATTGTTTCATGAATTATTAATGAGTTTTTGAAATACAAATAAATATTAAAATGTACACAAATTAACGTTACTATATATACAAATTTTACTATATACAATTATTATTATATACAGCCAACCCTATATGTCCTTTGCAAACCTTAAACTCTAAACCTTAAACTCTAAACGCACAAAGCTTAGATTTATGAATGAATTGTTCTCGTAAGGAGATATTTACCATGTCTATAAGAAATGGCCCCCAAATATGATTTCTAAACTGATTAAATGATGCTCCCATTATGCTTTGCACGCTTAGAGTTTAAGGTTTACGCCCGTATTCTAAAAGCTCACTCACACTCAATGAGTGGAGGTTCAATCTGAGCTTTTCTTGAGTGTCCATGTTTTTTTTTAATAGCTGGAGGACGAGTAGTCACATAGTAAGGTATGACACTAACCCTCCAGCTATTCAAAAACAGCAATGACCCTCATAAGAGAAGCTCAGATTGAACCTCCACTCATTGAGTGTGAGTATGAGTGAGCTTTTAGAACACAGGCGTTAGAGTTTAGGGTTTTTTGAATTAACTGTATACAAATATTATTAATGTCAACATCTTAAACATGTTTCCTCTTCTCTCTTTTCGCTATTCCATATTTCTTCTGCAAATGATATTCATCGCCGTTGATGTACGTTTTATCTTGTACACCATCTTCTGGGTTATCCGTGTTTCTTCGCAACGTCGGCACTGCCCCTCCCTGCACAACTTCGAAAGCTCCATCAACTTCACTTCCTATTGGTTGTTGAGAGCTTTCCTGGAGATCATGTGACTCTTCTCCATCATCATCGTCATTTTTTGAGACCGCTGTACTTGTGGCGTGCGGGTAGAGTTCGTCAGGTTTCTTTCCTGATATAAGCGTATTATAGCGTCCTGCCTGTACATTACTATGTATATCTCCAATTTGATTTACTTCGGGTTGCTGAGATTCCGAATTTTCAAACGCGAATCTATTATTCTTTTCTCTTAGAGAATTTCTCAACTCGTACCGAGGTTCTCTCTCGTTATTTGGTTCCACGATATCAGAGGTCTGCGGATGTAGCTTGGAATTTGTACCATCAACCAGCGAATTTGGTTGCTTCATTCCCTCGGTCCTAGGCCAGAAATTTCGCTCTGCGTTCACATGCAAGCCCAAAATATTAGAGCTTTGCGAGGTTCTTTCATGCTGGCTTCCCATTGGTTGCTGGAATGCTTCAGCCCCAGTCCTTAATTCTTGAGCCCCGATTACAGTATTTGTGATCTGCGGTTTAATTTCACCATCTGAAGCTGCTGTATTTCTGTCCTGCAGTTTTACCTTGGCAGCCGAATCCTGTTCAGTTGTAAGCACAGTATAGTGTTCTGGTTGTGTTTCGCTTTCAATAGTATTAGCATTTTCTGAATATTCCGGCATTTCTTTCAATAAGTTTGCATCTTCTTGTCTCCAGTTTGGAAGACTTCGTGTACTCTCGTGTTCCTCACCGTAACTGTATGTCCCTGGGAATACATTGTTCACCCCTTGTACCCCTTGACTACCCTTGCCATTGTAGCCTGATTTACTGTTCGTCATACTACGTTGGTTCAAATTGCTGTCATCCTGTGATTTTGTGAACGGATCCGCGAACTTTTGTACGGTGTCTGAGGCGTAATCAGCTTCCTTGTTTATAAAGGACGGTGTAGGATAGCTAGGTGTGCTTGAAGTAGGATTTGTTGTGTGCTGGTATGGTACATCTTGGGTTCCATATGGATGCATGTGGATATAATCGGACGTATGTTGATATATAGGATATTCTGTTGATATACGGGGTCGATCCTCGGATGCGCCCGCGGTGAAACTTTTTGTGGCGGAGATTTGATCAGCGGTATTGCGCGGTATATTGTCAAAATCTCTTATGTTTGTTGATGTGACTTTATTTATTTCCTGCGTATTGCTGTTTATCTCCGGGTCTCTGTTAGGTTTCCCCAACCCAACGACATCATGTTTTTTATCCTCCATCGAATGTTCGCCTGGTCCGGCTACTGTAACTGGCTCTGAAAATTGCAACACATGTTTACCAGAGGTTGCACTCGTGTGACCTTCGGGGTCGTTCGCTGTACGGTCGGATGTGTCCGTAGTATGACCATTGGGCGAGCCAATCGTAGCTTCGTACTCTGCGAGTAATTGATTTAGCTGTTCATCTGCCTGTTGAAGCTCGGATTCAGACGCATGTTCTTTATTCAAACCTCGGTCGTTCACAACATTATAGGTAACATGCGAACCCATATAAGGAGCGGTGCCACTCTTTTGGTTTGAATCGTTATAAACTTCTGTCAAGATTGTTTCCTGATTGGGTGTCATTAACTTATCATTATATACATTACCCATACCGGTTTTATATTTTTCTTGAAAGCTTAGCATTTTTAACTTTTTCAACAAGAAATTTTTCTCTTCACTCAACTCATGAATTTTCTTCTTAAGATTGACTTCAACGTTTGTTGGGGGCGTTCTACTACTTCCCAAATTTTCATTTAATTCACTTTCCTCCAAAACTTTTTGTTTCATAGCTAATTGATGTTCTAATTTTCGTTGTTCGTCCCATAACAATTTCTCTTGGTATTTTAATAAAGGTATTGCACGTAAGATATTATGTTTTTGATGTGACTTGACTTTTATTTTGGGTTTTTCTGTTTTAACCGGTCTCATGTGTCTGGAAAGCAGTCCTACGAATTTTTCCAGTAAATTATCCAAGTTAGTGTTCTCTGCAGTTGAAGTTGTTTTTATGTAGGGTATTTTGGAGGGACCGACTTTTTGTTTGGTGTCTATAGGTATATGGTTACTATCTTCAGTAATTATATTATTTTCAGACGCTTCTTTAGGCAACTTTGCATGAGCTGAGTTCCCTTTCAACTTTTTCGTTGTGAATTTTTCTTGGTTGTTTATTTTATTAGTTTCGGAATTTCTTCCCTGTGACTTTTGGGTAAGACTCAACAGTAGAGCGTCCACAACTCTCTTCGGAATCATTGGTTCACTAGATCCATTGGTAAGCCTAGATGTCCCTAGCTCACCTTGGTTGTTCATACTTGTCCTTTGAGGTACGCCGTTACCCCTGCTTATCCCAAGTGAGTTGTCTTTATTTCTTGGTTTGACATTCGTGTTTCTACTTGTACCTTGAGGGCCCATTTTCTCTTCACTTGTACCTAGATGATGGTCATTAACCCAGAGTACATTTTGAAGTTCTCCGTTGCCAGAGTTTCTTCCAAGTAAACTTTCGGTATTCCTTTGTACACTTGAGTTTCTACTTTTACCTTGAGTGCTCGTATTTCCTCTATTGGAACTCAAACGTTCTGTGGTAATTTTCCTTGTTTCTGATCGATTAGATCTTCCCAAAATCTCTTCCTGCGGCTTGGCAACATTACCTACAACATTCACACTCCACGTTGGACCAGATGTTGCCGATTTTGATTCGTTCTTCCCTGTTGCTACTTTTGTACTTTCTGGCAATTTAGCCTCTTTTTCTAATGACATTAGGACTTTTGATTCCTCAGTCGCAGTTGCTTTTGTTGTAGATTCTGCTGATTGAGCCTTCTTTTTCGATTCCGAGTTACTATAAAACCCAACTCCATCAATCTTTTCAGTCCATTGACTTGACTTGCTTGCTTCTGTAATTTTTGGTAACTTAGTCCCTTTCTCTGCTGCCCAGTTATTGTCAGAGCCAACTCTATCAATCCCTTTACCAAATTTATCTTGTAATGCCGAGCTTAAATCTCCAGGCGTTATTTTTACAGCAGGTTGGCTTGACTCTCCTTCGTCGATAACTTCCACACTTTCCGAATCCTGTTTGACATCGGTTGACGTTTGATAAGTTCCTTTATTTTTATCTCCCTTGGCTTCATCAAAGACTTCTATATGGACATCACTTGACTTTTTATCACTAACACTTGAGTTGTCGTGGGATTTTCCATGTACATGTTCAGAGAATGATTCTAGTTTATTTGTTTTATTTTTAGACAAAGGCGTGCCTAACGAAGGTCTACTAGTACTGCTTATTCCGTTCGACGAGCTTTTATTGAAACTATAGTCAGAAATCCTGCTTTCGTTTTGTGGGAAGATTGTGAGATTTGAAACATCGTCCATGAATTTTGATGTAAAAGTAACTGGATTCGAGTCTTGTGTTTCGTCATCTTTAGACAGATATTCATTTCCCATCAGTGGCTTTCCATCTGCATTCAATGGTCCTGTGCTGTTGATATAAGCATCATTAAACGTCCCCTGAATTTCATTTTCATTCTTATTTTCTATATTTGTATGAGAATTATCATTTTCTTTTAGTGGAAGCACTTTATTGTTTACTTCATTTGGCACTGTACTATTAGTATAAGAGTCACCATTAAGTTTCCATTGAATTTTCCTTTCATTCCTATTTTCCACATTCGTATAAGAACTGCCATTTTCTTTTGGTGGAAACACACTATTGTTTGGTACACTATCTTCAGTGGGTTCATTCTTCCAAAGACTTTCCCCAGCAGGTTTATAACCTTCAGTAGTTTTTTTAAATTTGGTAGAGGTTTTACTCTTCGAATTACTTTGAAGTTTATACTCGAGATCTCTCAGATTATAAGTTGATAAGTCCAGCCCAAATTTCTTTTCCATACCACTCAAAACATTACTTAATCCTTGTTGATTTCTGTCTGAATTCGTTGAATTTATCTGCAAAAATGGAGCCTGTGATTTTGTTTTTATTAATCCCAACTCACTAGATTTCATCTTTTCCTTCTCTTCACTTGGATTTGTAAATGATTTTTTTCTATCAGCTGTTTTACTTGATAGTTGTATTTCTTTATCTTGGACCAAGCTAGCCCGAGAATCCTTTAACCCCAAATCAGTAGGTTTAACCTTGTCGTTCAGATCCCCTGGTGTTTTAAATGGTCCGATTGCTTTACTCAATAGTCCAATTTTCTTATCTTTGTAAGTTTCCAAATTTTTCTCCTTGACATGCTTCCCATGTGCGCGATGAATAATTTTAACATGTTTACCAGAAATCAGGTACAAACCATTGGCATCTTTAACGATTCTGTTGTTGCTGCCCAGTGCTTTAAAAATTTCTCCGATAGCTTCAGCTTTGGAGTGAATTACTTTGGGTTTGGTGATACTTGAATTGTCACTTGCTGGTATTTTGTTAAGAATTTCAAGGGTGCCGTCTTTATTGGTTAATTTGGTATGGTGAAGTGTTGCTTGAAGAACAGTGGTATTCTTACCAGTGTTGATGTTTTCGCTTAGGATTGTTGTTTCGGATTGTTTTGGAAAGGCCATGTGTTCTTTATTTTGATTGTTTAAAATAGCAGTTGTTTGCAAAACTTTACCACTTTTGCCATTTGGAATTTTCTGAGTGTTGATTTTTTCGCTTAAAATTAATTTGGATCGCTCGTTTTGCCTTCTTTGATTTTTCCTATTGTCTATATTTGTCGCTTGTTTTTCTGCAAATAAATCTGGAAATTTGCCATCATTCATCATTTTTTGTTTTGTTTTTCTACCCGAAAGCGAAACGTGTTCGCTATCACTATGCATGTCATTATTTTTCTCATTTCTGTCAAGTTTTCTGCCAGATAGTAAAAACTGTTCATTATTATGTTTTTCATTATTCATATCAACCTGATCAAGACTTAAAATTTTGTATTTCGCCAACAATGGTAGCATATTCTTTAAAAGCTTTATTTCTTCGCTGTACTCAGATTTCATTTTTGATTGCTGCCTATTTTTCTCTGCATTTCTACCAAATCTGTCATCCCTATGCGTAAAGGTTGCTGGCATTTCATTTTTCATCGGATGATAATTTAACTTTGGTTCGTTGTCGGCTGAATCTTCGTCAACGTACGTTATGTTCGTATCGTCTTCGTAACTTGTCGTAAAAGGGCGATTGTTTGAAGTTTTCTGTGATTTAATATCTCGTAAGTTCGTAAGTTGGTCAGAGTTGCTATTTATCTTACTTGCTGGTTCTGTCAGTGATGATTCAAATGTAGGAATTTGGTCGGTGTGTTCCATTGCGTCTTTGTACTGTTCGTTTTTGTCGAGATTTGTTTTGCCTTACAAAATATAAATAGGGATTGTGAGCGCTGGGAACCTTATTAGGGTTAGAAGACAGCTAAACTAGACTAACACAATTTATGCTAGATAGCTCTATGAGTCCCTAGCTGTTCTTCCATCGTTACATCTTTAACCACAGAAGAACTAACTGGCAGATAATCGTAGTTTTTATTTTGGAGTCACGTTTACCTTTCTTATCCGCATCTTCTATCTGCTGGCGTGCTGTCTTCTTAGTTTCTGAATAAAGATATATGTGAGAAATGTTATCAACTTTGACTGAACAACAATAACGTTTCTTAATGCTATCGAATTCACAACTTTGAATAACAGATTCATCTTGCGGGCTAAGTGACAAGCGTGTTGTTCGAAAGCCAGTTAATTTAACTTAATCCTAGTTAAACTTAGCTTAAGTTTATTTCAAAACCAAAGAGAAAATAATTCTTACTGACCCAGACAAGATTTCTAAAGAAATATTTCCAAATTGATAAACAAGCTGTTAGGAAGTTTGCTTTGAATTTAGGGTTAACCTATATAGGGTTGAGCTAATTGGGTTCCCAACAATTGGCCCCAGGCTAAATTTTAACCCAGGGTTAACACTAATCCGGCTTTGAACAACCGGCCCCAGGTATTCATGTTTCCTCGTGTATTTACATTGAACTGACTACGGATGGTCTGCCTTGACTACTAGGTAAAATATGTTTAGAGCTAATAGAGTGACCAATATAAATAAATTTATTTGATTTTAGTTTTTATTTTATTTATTTTACAAGTTTCCATTATTAAAGATATAAACTAACTATAAATGTCACACAATGGCTGGAATGACCACATGCACAGAGATAAAATCTTCAATAACGGCAGGGTTCGTAGCGGTCTTTGAAATCCTGGAAAGTCTTTAAATTTGAATGCAGGTCTTTAAGGTCTTTGAAAAGTCTTTGAATCGTGTGAAAAAGCGAAGAAAGTCTTTAATAGTCTTTAAATTCTTTAGTGAGTATTTGATTATACGATTTCCTATAGCTAATAAAATAGATTGATTGAAGCAAGATTTTCGCAAATATCGACGAAAAAGTGCATTTTAGGAAGTGATTCGAAGGGACTAATTACCTGGTAAAATGGTGCTTATACATCGCAATTTCTCGACAGCTGATTGCTCTCAAAGGTCTTTGAAAAGTCTTTGACAATAGGCAGAAAAAATCTTTGAATGTCTTTGAATTCTTTTGGTCTTGGAGACTACGAACCCTGAACGGGGTTCCACTGTTTAGTTATAGTAAAGCGTATAGTATGATGTATTTAACGCTATTTTCTTTGCATATACCTAGTTTTGTTGGGGACGTTTTCTTCAAGTCTGTTGGGACATTAACATTTGCTGGATTGTCTGCTGGTAGATTTGTTTCAGAAAATCTGATATCTTGCGCTGGAGCTGTGGAAAGAAAAAAGTACAAAAACAAAACAGGTTAGAATCACAATTCTGCTTTTCTAGTTATAACACTACGCAGCTTAACCGTGAATCGCACGCATTCTAAACGTGAACTGCACGCAGCCTAACCGTGAATGGCATGCATCCTAAACGTGAACTGCACGCAGCTTTACCATGAATCACATGCATCTTAAACGTGAACTGCACGCAGCTTAACCGTGAGTCGTATGCATCCTAAACGTGAACAAGTTGTTACAAATCTGCAACAAGTTGTTACAAATCTGTTCACAAGCTGTCGAAAATTGTGTTCGCACTGCTTGTTCCCGGTTGTAACAGGTTTGCATGGAACAAGTTGTTAACAACTTGTAACAAGCTTGATGACAATATCATACTTGTTACAAGGTTGTTCTAACAAGTATGACTGCATATATACAATCATGACATAACAAGAATTTCACAATTAAAGCCACGGTCAAAGTTGAAGACACAAGGTTGTAACAGTATTGTTATATATCATGACTGTATCAGACTTGTTGGAACAACCTTTCAACAAGTCTGATAATGCCATCAAGCTTGTTACAAGTTGTCAACAGCTTGTTCCAAACTTGTTGACAACTTGGGACATGCAGTGCGAACACAACTTGTTGACGGCTTGATTTTTGCATGTGTAATTTTAATTGCTAAATATACCTTCTGCTCAGTATTAAATACCTTCTCTAGCAGTAACAATAACATCAGCGAAATGTTCGCAATCGTCTTGAGGCGACACAGAGATGGTTTTTTCTCCATCCAATAAAATTTCTCTCTTATTCTTCTCATCAGCGCCATGGAATATGACAAAATGACGTAATTGCGAGTGTCTGAATATAGTCTTTAGTTTATATTCGTCTGTTGTGACGGGGTAACCTTCTGGCTTCATCGTCGAGATGACTTTGAAGTTTGCACCCGCGTGGTTCATGAAACGTAAAGCAATACATTTGTCTAAAAATACAGTTTCACAAAGAATTGTTTGAGCTATTACGTAGATAATAATAATATACGTAAAACGCTACTCGGCTGTGATTGGTTGATTTCAGTGCGGTTAATCCCAAACAACAGCGCAAAATTCTGCAACAGCAGTGCAAAAATATCTGTAACAATAGTGCAAAATTCTGCACCAAACTGATCTGATCACGGGAAGCCCAGGCTGACTCTGTGTGTAGCTCGCATCCGGATCCAGCCTTTGGCTGGCGCGGGGAAAGTCTGTATGCCGGCTACACACAGAGCCTGGGCACAGAGTAAGTACATACAGAGGTCTCACTTCTGGCGGCCATGTTCTTAGCAAGTGCTCTAAAGAGAGGCACTCGCCCCCGCGAGACATTAAATTTCAATATGTTTTCAGGGGGTGACGGCCTCTCTTTAGGGCAGCTTGCTAAGAACATGGCGGACTGAAAATATCCCTTGTGCTAAATTCACCCGAAGAGACCTCTGTATAGGAATGTTTTCTAAACATTTTCAGTGACTCAAACGTGTGACAGTTGTAGGCTTATATACTTATAGTAATTATAGCATCAAGTAAAATGTATCGTCGTTCTAACTTAGCTGACTTACATCCTTGCTATGCTAAAGTATTTTCATGTACAGAGAGCCGTGGATTGAAAGAGATTAAAACTACCTGAAAAATACTAGATTTTGTAATTTCTCCCCGCAGCGCTTTTTGTTGTCATCATTGCCTATACACAGGCACAGATCGTTGAGATTATTCTCCTATAGGCCTACACACGTATTTATTAAACCGGCTTAATATTATTATACTATATCATACTTGATTCTGAGAATGAGATTACTATATATCTAAGACTAAGCCTGGTTTCCATATAATCGTAACGGTCGTAAAGATCTTTCTCATCAGCCGAAATACACTATACATTTTAGAACTGAAAGGACGCGGAGCGATTACAACTAGATAATTCTATATGATTTATATGTGGTTTACATGTATAAACTATTATAATATAGCATTTGTAAATTCTGAACGCTGATTGGCTAAGAGTCGTGTTGACATAACTCAATGTCAACACGGGAAATTTTCCGCCGCTTGTAAACACGGAAATTTTGCTTATCCTTTGGGCTTTTGACATTGTTATATTATAAAAAAAAATATAAAACATTTTTTCCGTATTGATATATAGTTATATCAACACCCGTGGAAGTTGGATTTCTCGTTTTCCCAATTCCACTCGTGTTGATATAACTGTATATCAACACGGAAAATGTTTTATATTTGTTAAATATAAACTGGCCCTTGAGAAAGATCGTGACTCTATTTTTACGACCATATGGAAACCAGGCTTTAATTAAGGCAACCTCGTACCCAGGGACTTTCCTCTTGGGGAGCAAAGACCCTGGTAGACGCTGGTCACGTGATCTGCTATAATCTAGCAGATTTTTAATTAGCAACCCAAGATCAGGTCAGTAAACATTTGATATTTGGATTATTTTGATAGTTTAATTTATAATTTGCATTTTGTATGATTGACGTAAAGAAAACCAAGATAGTTAATTAGAAATCTGCTAGATTTTAGCAGATCACGTGACCAGCGTTTACCAGGGTCTTTGCTCCCCAAGAGGAAAGACCCTGTGTACGAGGTTGTAATTAAGGTACATCATTCATCAAGCAACCAAAATTATGGAAAGTTATCGATGCCTATATCGGATATTTTATTTAGCAAAGGCCAAAACTGAAACTACTTTCGAACCATATACCTTCGCAGATACCCGGATCTTTCTGAGTGGAAATAAATCATAATGGATATTTAACAGTTATTCTACGAACTCGAGTCGAATATGAGCTGATAGCCGATGAGGCGCGTAGCGTCGAATCGGCTATCGCTCATATTCGACGAGAGTGAGTGGAATAACTGTTTTATTATATCCACAAAGTCTGAATTCACAGACTTTGCTTTTCGAATATTTTCAATATTTTTCTATTTTGTTTATGTTTTTATCTTCGCTCTTTTCGGCCGATTATTTTTTCAAAAATATATATTTTTAACTATTTTAAATTTTAAAAATTCATTTGCTAACCTGTAAACAATTTGAGAGAGTTTTTTCATTGTGTTTTTAATCTTGTAAAGGCTATTAAAACCGAAGAACTTGCTGTGTTCTCGTTCGCAAAACGTCTGAAATTCAGTTTGAGCCGCCATTTTGTTTTTCTCTACTAGCACGATATGAGCTAATATCCTGCTAGTAGAGAACCAATCAGATTGCAGAATACCTCATATCCAGACCTTGTGTATATAATAAAACGATATATAACTACTGTCCGCTTTTAAAAAGTTACGCTTATGAGTTACGTACAAAGCTTTTGGTGAAAAAAATAGAAATAAATGAGACCAAAAGATTATAAATATCCATCATGACTGCAAATATCTGAAAAGATCACCGCCCCGGGTTTACGAATCAAAACCTTGCGACATCATTAATGGACCTTTCACCTAAAAACTAAAATTTTGATCTAGACAAGTCTACGGACAAAAATTTCATCACAGCTTGAAAGAGCATCACAAAATTAGTAATATTCCGAAGTTTCGTTGCGAAATGTTGTGAAATGCGGATAATATAGCCCTGCGCAATTTGCAATTTTCAGTCATTTTGTATTACAAACGGGAAATTGATGCCCCAACACCCGATTGGGCTGTCAATTTCCCATGCGTAATACAAAATGACTGAAAAACGGCAAACTTCGCAAGGCTATATTATCCGCATTTTACAACATTTCGCAACGAAACTTTGGAATATTACTAATTTTGTGATGCTCTTTCAAGCTGTGATGAAATTTTTGTCTAGATAAAAATTTTAGTTATAAGAGAAAGGTCCAATAAACGTGGTATCAGTTTTGGTTTGTGGAAACACCGTGTAAATTTATTATTTCCAGAGCTTTCGATCCGTAACCCGGATCTTCATCAGTGCATGCTATCCAAGGAAGAGGTTATTTCGCTGGCCTCAGGCTCAGAGTGACAAAACGTAACTCAACTTGTTCGTCAATTACAGCCATAGAACATGATGTACGATTGAAAACGTACGTTTTACATGTAATACGACGATATTTAGTGGATTTTTCGCAATTACCGCCATGTTGAAAATCACACTTCGTGGAGTCCACGAAGTGTGATGTTATTGATTTTAGGGTACAGTTGTGGTAACAATCTAATTTAAATAATTTATTCATTTTATTCGATTTATTCGATGCGACGGAAATTCGACGTATAAATCAGTGTCGCGTTTCGGTCGCATTACACGACTGATCATGTCGCAAAATTCGACAGCGTCGCATTTAATGCATCCCGTCGGATTTAGTCAATTTATACGTCGAATTTTCGTCTGATATAATAACTTGACTGAAATTCGACGCATTAAATAAGACTGAAATTCGACGTATAAACTAGGCCTTAATGGCTAATGCGATGTCCCAAGGGACATTTTTAGCGACAATTCGCAATGCAAAGGATGTTTTTATGAAATGTATTGACTCGCCAACGACTTGCATTGTCCTGTGGGACATCGCATATAAATTGGTTTTCCGCATTTGACGTCATTATAAGAAAGGTCTATTATGTATTCATCGCTTTCCATACGCACAAATAAACTTCACTTACATTGCTTTTCCCCTCTGGTTAATGTAGACTCGATTTCGACCACTGTAAACAGCCATAGCACGATTTGTGTGAGAATATATAAATTCACAGCTTGCCCTTTTCTTTGTGAGGCCATAATCCGATAAACACCATTACAAACAAAAAAAACGTCGCCTCTGACTACATTTTAATAGTATAGTCCATTTGTGTCGATGTTACATGTTATATTTCGCCATTCTATTGCTACATATGAGCTTTTATGCCATAATTTTTGTCACTTGTTTGTGCTACGGTAGTCAAAAGTTGCAGGTAGAATATATCGGGGTAAATGCGAATCCTTTGTGACTTAACGTGCTTTTGTTTGGAAAAATACAGGTGGCAATTATTGAGATGCGATCTTTTAGACGACTTTTGCCCGGTTCTGGAACAAAGCCATTCATATGAACCCAGGGCTCGCCGGCACTCGCTTGATCGAAATCTGCATTCCCTTTGCAACTCATATAAAATTCATTTTGACATTTTGTGTTCATATGAGAAACGAGCCAGCCCGACCTGCGCTCCCGGGGTCTCACACAAGTGTGATAACATTCTCCATATGAACGCTTGACCTGGATGAACACTTTTTACGATTTTGGCCTAGTATGATTTAGTATTGAATAGCATAGTTGGAAAATGCAAACAAAACAAAATTAAACACTAACAAACCTATAAACAGACAATGTTAAAGTCGTAATACAAGGACAAGGTGCAGTTTGTCTCGTTTTGAATAATAGTTGAAGAAAGAAACCTTTATTCGTACTCACAAGAAAAGAAAATTAGTTATTTTCATACGTTATAATTTATGAGTTAGAGTACTGGCTGCACAAAATAACCATAAGGGCTATAGGAAGAGGGTGCAGCCAATAAGGACTGTGGAAAATATAAACATATAACAAGCTCACAGAACAGCTGTCTCCAACAGGATGTTGGAGAGAACTGCACACAAAATAACCTCATTACAATATTCATTTTTACATCAAATAATAAAGTTAGTTTTTGGACCAGGAACTGGTCCCCAATCGCTGCTAATCTTGTTGTTGTTGTTGTTGTTGTTGTTGTTGTTGTTGTTGTTGTTGTTGTTGTTGTTGTTGTTGTTGTTGTTGTTGTTGTTGTTGTTGTTGTTGTTGTTGTTGTTAGGGGGCGACGCTCTTTGAAAAAACCCTAAGGCTCCGTCGTTACTTGTCCAATCGGAATGAAACTTGACATAATTATTCTAAGCAATATTCCGCATCGATTGACGGTGTTCGATTTTTCATTTTTGACTTTAGAAGCGAAATATGAGCAATGTTTTACTGCACTCGTAGCAATTAATATATATTTTGTGTTCAATATATAGACCACAGTAAGACTTTTTTTAAATGTTTATTTCATTAACAAACGACGTTTCGGAGATTTACTCCATCTTCAGGTAGTTAATAGGATCAACCCTATTAACTACCTGAAGATGGAGTAAATCTCCGAAACGTCGTTTGTTAATGAAATAAACATTTAAAATAAGTCTTACTGTGGTCTATATATTGAACACAAAATATACTTTTAACATGAAGACTTAGGGAAAGTTCGTTCCTAAACATTTTGAATTAATATATACATATCATTAATATTCAGCAAATATATCAGCAAACGCAAATGATAAGAAAGACATTGTCTTCTCTATTGTTCGTTGTGAACACAATCACAATAGTCTAAAGCTTCTCAAGAATGTGGACGACTAAATATAACGATTAATTATAAGCGTTAAGACTTAAGTTGACTAATTTAACACGCTGGGTTAGTTTCTCAAAGCGCATAAAAACAAAGACATGACATGTTTTTAGCACAAGCATGCAGTTATGAAGCCATTACCAAGCGAAATGATCTGCATTAACCTATATCAACAATTCAGATAAATTGTTACCTTAACTTAAGTCCCGTTTACACGGCACGTACACGACTGCAGCTGCAATATTTTGCAATGGCACGCACGGCACAATTTGTTACGACAAAAGTTAAATTTAGGCACGGTATGTTTAGTCTTAATCTATCTAATTCGAATGCGAGTATATACTTTTGAAAACTGCGCATTTAGTTATCTATGCTTTGTCCAGATCTACACTCATTTACACACGGCATGACTAGATCAAACACATATTTTTGCCCGGATAAAGTATATCTTGCATCCATGACCAAATTAAAGCAAAACATTTAGCGAACTCAGTATACGCTGCCTTGAGAATAATTAGTTTTACAAGTGTCTAGTTATTTGTTTATCAAGTCAAAGCTGAGTCTCGAAGGTTTTGAACATTTAACGATTTGCACAAGATCGAAACTGAGTCACGCAGTTCCTGGTCCACTATAGTACGATCGTACTTGTTATTACAATTCTCAATATTTCTTGATCATTTCAATTTTTATTCTCTTTTTGAATTGCGAGAAAGAGAGAGAGAAGAATTCCATATTTTTGAAGGGTATTGTATAGATGGAAATTATCGAGTGAAAATTTATATACATTTATTAGACCTAACCAGGGACAGCTGCGAAATATGCAACTTTAGGTCCTTGGCAGGAATTGAACCTGCGGCCCTGCGATTCCGGTGCAGCGCTCTAACCAACTGAGCTACAGAGTCCAGTTGTCGAGCTCTACTGCCACTCGATAATTTCCATCTATACAATACCCTTTAACAGTCTGAACTTCCCCTTAAAAGAAGTCCTTGAATTTGAAAACAAAATGCATGAAAGACCTTGAATTTAGAAAGAAAAAGTGCTTGCATGAAAGTCCTTGAATTTCACTTGCTTTGGTTTTTGGATATTTTCTGAAATGTGCCGGTTTGCCCTTCTCATGTGCGTGCATTTAACATTAATACACGGACATTTTGTTGAATAGATTTTGCAAAGCTGTTTGAAATTCATTAAAGTTACGATTTGAACAGTTTAATATTACAGTCGATTTCACGAAACTTTGACCACAAATGTTCCGAAATTCGTTGCGAAGTTCGCAAGTTCGTTGCGAAGTTCGGAAGCTTATATTGGAATTCACAAGCCAATTTGTAAACAAAGTCCCTGATTGGTCCGTGAAGTAAAAGAAGCCAATCAAATGCGTAGTTTACGAACTGGTTTGTGAATCTCATTATGAACTTTTGAACTTCGCAACAATCTTGTGAACTTCGCAACGAAGTTCGGAAAATTTGTGGTCAAAGTTTCGTGAAATCGACTGTAACGTCACATTTTACTCGTTTCTAACGCCTTCTTTTCAGTTCTTTAGCCTTGAAAGTCCTTGAATTTTACTCTTCCTGACCACAGACCAATAGGAACCCTGGTACAAATTTTGTTGTTGTTGTTGTTGTTGTTGTTGTTGTTGTTGTTGTTGTTGTTGTTGTTGTTGTTGTTGTTGTTGTTGTTGTTGTTGTTGTTGTTGTTGTCATCGAATTAAATCATTACATGCGGTCCGTTATTCAACATGTCTGTAAATTGTAAGCACGAAACTATACTAGGTAATTCACTTTCATGACAGTACGTTTTTGGCAGTGCTGGGTTCGGTGTGCTTGGCTGCTCTCCCACCACTGACAGCATGTCTTTGATACTGCTGGTCATGTTGTCTGGCATTTTTAGCCCAATGGTTATTTGAGAAAGCTAGTGCCTTGTATTCATAAGGTGCAAATAATATGTCTTCTACTCCTGTGCTAATTATCTTCGAGGTCAACTCGTGTCTGATCACGGCCAAGCACAGCTACACACGTAAAAACACACAAGTTGTTACAGGTCTGCAAACAAGTCGTTACAAATCTGTTCACAAGCTGCCCAGTTGTAACAAATTTGGAACAAGCTGTTAACAACTTGTAACAAGCTTGATGGCATTATCAGACTTGTTACAAGGTTGTTTTAACAAGTCTGATACAGTCCTGATATAACAAGAATGTTACAAGGTTGACGACACAAGGTTGTATATCATGACCGTATCCGACTTGTTGGAACAACCTTGCAACAAGTCCGATAATATCAACAAGGTTGTTACAAGTTGTTGACAGCTTGTTCCAAACTTGTTGACCACTTAGGACACGCAGTGCGAACACAACTTGTTGGGGACTTGTTGGCAGACTTGCTACGAAGATGTGAGATTTTTGCGCCGTGTACGTTAATGGTAGGGTAACGAAGCCACCATCAGGTAATGAAATTTTTTTAAAGGAACACAGTTCGGCCTTTTGAATGATGGGTTTTAAGGCGCATTACAATCCTTTTAATTGAAAAAACTAACTAGGAAAATCAATTAAGCATAGTTCAAGAGATCAGATTCATAAGATTCAGTGATCTCAATGTTTTTAACACTTTTTAGCATTTTTAATTTTAGCACTTTTTAGCATTGAGTTATGAGCATCTTGAATTATATGCTTAATTGATTTTCCTAGTTAGTTTTTCAATTAAAAGGATTGTAATGCGCCTTAAAAACCATCATACAAAAGGCTGAACTGTGCTTTTAATGGCGAAGAATCCATCTGTGATGCGACGAGGACATATTCATCCCCTGTGAAATCCAGGCCTGAGTAAAACGCTAACGCCTTGAAATTATAAAACCGCGATGGATGCAAAATTCACGTAAAACTAAAAGCTGTAATTGTTAATTTCATATAATGTGCTCTGAAGAAACAAGCGCGTTCGCCGCCATATTTTTAAAATACGTCTATATTACCGTTTATTTATATTTATACTAGCAGGTGCTCTGCGATGTTTTTTGAATAAAATAAACTTCTTCTGAGCCGATTCTTTGTTGACCGGTTTGTTTAGATTTCAAGAAAGAAGCTTCTTTCAAACAATGTCTTTAAAATGTAGACATTCTTGTAGGAAATGGCTTAATTTTCACGTTTGAAATACTCTCAGGCAGGCATTGACGGACATGTTGGATTCAAAATTATGTGTCAATGTTGGCTCGCATTGCTCTATGGCTTTTTGGCAATTTGGTTTATCAATATAACACCGACAGATCAACAATTGGCCACCAAGAGATTAAGAAAGAGACACAAGTTGGATAAATTATGGACGTTTCAGAAATACAACGGTAAGATTAAGCAGTTGCCAAATTAAGCCCCGATCAAACGTGGATGGGGGTTGTTGAGAGTTAGAACTTTAGCTCTCGTTCGTCCGCCAACTCTCATGTACTCTCATCCACTTCGAACAAGTTCAGAAACGTGAGAGTTTTTTGCTACGTGCGTGATAATATCCAACTCATATTCTCGTTTGTCTGGGGCACGAGAGTTGTGTAACTCTTATGCAAACTTTCACTTGCCAACTCTCATGCAACTCTTGTTCTAGTTTGAACGGGACATGAGAGTTGAGAAAACTCATGAGAGTTGAGAAAACTCTCATGCAAACTCTCATGTAACTCTTGTTACTTTGAACGGGACATGAGAGTTGTGTAACTCTTACGCAAGATCTCGCTTCTTAACTCTCTTCAACTCTCATGTAACTCTTGTTCTCATTTGAACGGGACATGAGCGTTGAGAAAACTCTCGTGCAAACTCTTGCATGTCAACTCTCGTGTAACTCTTGTTCTCGTTTGAACGGGACATGAGCGTTGAGAAAACTCACGAGAGTTGAGAAAACTCTCATGCAAACTCTCGCTTCTCAACTCTCGTCAACTCTCATGCAACTCTTGTTCTCGTTTGAACGGGACATGAGAGTTGAGAAAACTCATGAGAGTTGAGAAAACTCATGAGAGTTGAGAAAACTCTCATGCAAACTCTCGCTTCTCAACTCTCATGTAACTCTTGTTCTCGTTTGAACGGGACATGAGAGTTGAGAAAACTCTCATGCAAACTCTCGCTTCTCAACTCTCATCAACTCTCGTGTAAGTCTTGTTCTATTTTGAATGGGACATAAGAGTTGAGAAAACTTTCAGTCACACTCTCGATTGTCACTTCTCAGAGTTGTGTAACTCTTATGCAATAGTATAATTCTAGTGCAATTTTCTTCTGATGGATGTGAACGATGGAATGTACCCTCGTCTAAACATTCCTAATTCATCCACTCATTGGGTCCAAAAATTGGGGGGATACACTGTTGTCATCCGACAGTGTTGCTTATTTTGCTCGTATCTATAAAGCTCTATGGGACTGTGTCTCTCACTGAATTAAATTGTCAAGTATTCTGAAACAACTGTTAAAAGGTGATTTATTAATGAAGACATTTACAATGTTCCTCAAGTACTTCCACAATGCAATAAATGCCGTTTCAGAGACCCAAGATGTTTTTCTCCGGGGGAACATGCCCCTGGAGGAACAGGACTGCTTTGCTTGTTTGTTTGTTTGTTTGTTTAACCAAGGCTGGTATTTGGAAATTAAGAGACTTTCGCAAATTAGAAGTTCCTTGTTGTCTGTGTCTGTAACTTGATCATACTTTGTAATATAGTAACTTAGTTTATTCATAATCCCTGTCATTGTAATTTTACTGTTAGTCTGAAGTAACTGTTCGTCTGTTATACTGGCCTCTTATTTTCATTGTAAGATTACGTTTCCCGCCCGGAAAATCACTCGTGAATATACTAAAGAATCGATCCAGCTCATATTCAAATTTTTCATAGGACGAAATGAGAAGCTGAAACGGGATGCAAATCAAAACTCGTTTGTCGGTTTTGAAGATAAATATTTGAACAGAAGAAAGAGGGGTAAGAACTCTTGCAACTTAAACATTAGTGAACAAGACTGTATACAAGAACCTCTACTCATTGAATGTGAGTGTGAGTGAGCTTTTAGAACGCTGGCGTATGTTGGCACATTTGGTTTTGCAAATCGACCAATTTATTCTCTTTAATTAATTATTTCGTAGCCGTGGGAGCACATGGAGTCAATTTGGAGATTTGGTTCAACATGGAAGGATATAGCATCGAAGCATTGAAAAAGAACTTCAGATTTCCAAAAACTCCAGACTTACAAACACTGACTCACAGATTTGCTGAACCTTCTGACATTGGTGAAAGTTATGGTTCAAGGTTGTTCGCTTGGTTCTCACCCCCGAAAACTGGATATTATGTTTTCTTTATTTGTGAGTATGATATTTATTACAGGTAAACAACGTCAAGCGTTCCTTTTTTCATTTCCTAACTTGATTACAATTTTCCTCATTACCTAATTTGGAAATTTGTAAAACTCCCTTGAAAATCCCTTGAGGGAATTTACAATGTTCCTATCGGTTGTTGCGATATTCCAATGCAGATTGCAGAGAAACTTCCTCTCAAATTTCCGAACTACTTGTTTCAATTTCCTGACTTCTTGGGCGTTGTGTGGGATATTTTTATTAACCAATTACAATGCACGTAACAGAACAGAACAGAACAGAACAGAACAGAACAGAACAGAACAGAACAGAACAGAACAGAACAGGAAGTTAGGAACTTGTAACAGGAAGTTAAGAACTTCTAACAGGAATTGAGGAAAATTTAATTGGCTTTTAGGAACATTGCAAATTCCCATTTTCAAATTTTCAAAGATAATGAGGAAAGTTGCAATCAAGTTAGGAACTCAAAAGAGGAACGCCTGACGTAGTTTACTTGTAGTTATTCAATTGATTGATAAATTATACAATAGATAGAAGAATCAATCATTCAATTATGTAATCAATTGATAAATGACCAGCACTTGTGATGGCGTGGTTATCAAGCTTGCCTTTCAAGCTTGGAGACCCGGGTTCAATCCTTGGTCGGACCTCTACTCAAGATCTTAATTAAAATAATTGAGGAGAAAGTGCTAACTTTCCATTGACATAACTACAGCGATAGATGAAGGGAAATACACAATTGGTATTTTTCTTGACCTATCAAAAGCATTTGATACTATTAATCACCAGATTTTGATTAATAAGTTAGAGCACTATGGAATAAGAGGAACGTGTCAAAAGTGGTTCAAAAATTACCTAAGTAACAGAAAACAATTTGTAAAATACAATCAAGCCAAATCAGAAGAAATGACAATAAAACGTGGAGTCCCTCAGGGTTCAATAATATTAGGACCACTCCTGTTTTTACTATACATTAATGACATTCAAAACTGTAGTAAATTAATTTCGATTATATTATTTGCGGATGATACCACTATTTCGTACAGTCATAAGTGTCTTAAAACGCTCAATGAACATATGACAAATGATGTTTCATATAACAAATGATGTTTCTGTAAATATAACATAGTCTAGGGGTCTTAAACAAAAGCCTTATAGGTTTCTAGTAGGCCCCTAGCCCTACTGTAATAATGAATTAGTAAACTTTTGTAAATATTATTAAAACATTTTTTTGGGGCGAAATTAAATTAAATAAATAAATACATCTAGTTGAGCGGGGGGTCGAAGGGAGGGTGGAAGCTATCACCCTCTACTGAACTTTGCTTTAATATAAAGTTATACGTGAGTCTCCCACTGAGAAAAATTGTCAAGTATTCTGAAACCAGTATTTGACATCATAAAAAGGTGATATATTGAGACCTCGTTTCACAGACACCCTCCCCCACTGAAAGAAAAATTCTGGCCGCTTCTGGTAAGGACGATTAGCAGACACTCGCCCCCCCCACTTACTATCACATCATGCAATCTTCAAATAAATAGATTGATAAAATGTTTCAAAGCTAATGTTCTTTTCTTAATGCTCAACAGCCTGCAACAATGATGGCGAATTGTTCATCAGTACGGATGACAAGCCGGAGAACAAAAGATTAGTTTGCAAAATATCCAATTACGGTTCCCAAATCAATGGAGCATGGTTTAAGTAAGTAGCAGATTTTCTCATTTCAATTTAATTATCCTTATATCCTGGGCTAGTGCTGCTACAGGAAGAAACTTAATTTAGATTAACTTTTTTCACTGGATAGATATATCTATAGACTGTTTTCCCTAAAGTCCAGTAAGAATGATTAACAATTGGACATACAACGAGGCCGAGTTGTCTTACTCTTACTCAAAATACAAAGTGAACTGCAAGCACAATAGATATTCCAGCTTTTGACGAAATTTTGATCTAGACAAGAAGAACGAAATCCATTACCATAGCTGGAAAGAGCATCTTAAAATGAGTAAAATTGCAAAGTTTGGTTGCGAAATGTTGTAAAATGAGGAGACTATAGCCCTGTGAAGTTCGCAAGTTTTGTATATATTTACATTACGCGCGGGAAAAATAACCATTGATGATAATTATTGATGATATTTTTAATTTGAGCCGAAAGTGGTTATTTTTACCGCGCATAATACAAATATATACAAAATTTGCGAACTTCAAGGGCTATATTTTCTTCATTTTACAACATTTCGCAACCAAACTTTGCAGTTTCACTTATTATAAGATGCTCTTTCTAGCTGTGTTGGATTTCGTTCTTCTTGCCTTGATCAAAATTTAGTCTATAGCTGGAATCACCCATTGGAAAGATTTTTCATGCCTCGAAGTATTTTTAAATCTTTATCTTGCTCTCACCTTTTCTAGATACGACAGCCAACGTTCCCCGCCCATTCCAATGATCAAAGGAGAATATTACTACATGGAAACTGTGCATAAGCATCTATTTGGTAAAGATGTTCTTAAAGTCGCAGTGCTAATAGAAAATGGGCAGTTTATTGGACCCATTGGAGAGCGATTCCTTTATTTTTATTACAAATCTTCAAAAGAAAGTAAGTGTAGGTTAAGGGATATATGAAAGCCAGGAGGCGCAAATTGACTGCACGTATTAAGGGGGGGGGGGAGGGGGCGAGTTCCTGCCCGACAAATTAAGGTGTGGTCACCAAACAATCTGCGATGAAATTCGTGAACTTTTCTATCTTTACCTCAGATGACTTCAACCGCTTTGCCTGACATACAGCCCAACATGAGGCAACATTTGCCCGAGTATAATACCATTTTTGACTCACGGATATCTGTGAGTTTTTGTGGTTACTTGAGCGTGGGGCAGTTAAACAACGGGAAATGACGAGCTTGCTTTGCGCGCACTGTTTGCCTGCGCATCGGGCCTTTCAGAACCGGAAATCGGGTTGGAGCACGCGTACGTTGTTTTTATTTGACATAAGAAGCACGACAAATGGCAAAATTCGCATGGTGCCCATTTGCAAAAACAACTGCTCTAATTCTTTCTGTCACTTTCACTTGATTTCATCTGTGAGTCTCTGATCTTTATTAAACCTTGGGTGGATGTCACACCCACCTCCCCACACGCCCCTGAAAAGAACAGGGAGAACTTCGACGCTTCGTGCGTAGGCCCTTTGTCGGGAAGCTAGTAGAACGTCGAAGTTCTCCTTGTGTTTTTCAGGAAGTTGTATTCATCCCGAAGCTTTCTCCGTTTAAGCGATATATGGCAATAATAATTTAATTTGTCTCATTTGAAAGAACTTTTAAAATTACGTGCAAAACGTTTTTACAGCTTCTTCAAATTTTGCTTAGTTCTCGAAATATTTTCACGACAATCATCATAAATCAGCGAGCTGTCCGCCATCTTGGATTATTGTGGATGTTTTATATATTACTGGCATTTCTTTGAGCATATGCATTTGTAAAGAAGACTATATATGTTGGCATCTCTGATTTTGACTTTATAGCCGAAAATTTGAGAATTTTAAAATGTTGTCTATTAAAGTACAATGTTCACAAAAATGCAAAATTTCAAGTTTACTTTTCACAAAAATAAACTATACCATTAGAAGGGTCGCACAAAAGTATATATAAAACACGAAAGCGAGTAGTGCGAATTTTAAGTCTGTTTTGAGTTAGGGGAGCTCAAAGTTGGCAAAATAGTAACTTTTCCCATAATTAAAATAGTACATTTTCTTCATTTTTGAACGTTAAACATTCGTTTGAACACTAGCGCGCCGAAACATATTTAATGGTGTGCACACCTTTATTTGTAGAAGGTAAAACGACAGACCCGTTAGACGCAGGTGTAGCGGCCGGTATCAAAGCTGGACAGGACGTACTCGAGAAAGCGAAGAAGAAAGCGGCAGAGGAGGCAAAAAAGGCGGCAGAAAAAGCGGTTGAAGAAACATTAAAGATTACTGAATTACCGACAGGAAATGGAAAGAAGCCGAAGACAAGATATATCGAAGAGGTCAATATTACTGAAGTGGTTGAAAAAATGAATCTAACCGCGCACGCTACGTTGATGAATGGCTGGTCTGCTGCTGGTATGTTGACATGTGTCGTTGTGACATGCAGTACCCAGTAAAATTAATTTAACTGGAACGCTATCTTCAACCGGAAATTTGAAATCAAACTTGCCAGTCCCTGTCTTTTCACGCATGCGAAGAGCTCGGTCAATCCGTGAACAAGAATATGTATTCATGAAAACCAATTTAAAATTTACAAGAAAGCTTTTTAACAGCGCTGAAAACAACTTTTTATTAATGCATTTATTTAGGTAAAATTTTCTAGTAGAGTTTATTATAGTACTTTTATTTTTGTTCTTTTTAAAATACATCCTCGCTCCCTGAACTGGTCTCGCGAGAGAATCGCGAGGCATAAACACGCGGGTATTTTGTCTCGCGAGAGAATCGCGTGGCATAAACACGCGGGACTTCGGTCTCGCGAGAGAATCACGAGGCATAAACACGCGTGTAAGATTTGGCTCAAGAAAAAGATAGGCATTTTATCTGAAGATAGTGTTCCAGTTATATTCACTTCACTGGCAGTACCATAAGCTTTACCAGATTACTCAATTTCTGCTAGCAGATAACTGAATTTTCTGTAGGTTGCGTGATTGCGCGATTTAACTGTAAGCTCTTAGCCAATCAAATTGCTTTTACCAATAATAATAGCTTTTATAGCTATAATTAGCCTACAGTAATGTTGTTTTCCCAAACCGGTTTGACATATTTTTACAAATGGCCAATCACATGCGAGATTCAAATTCTGAACCTAATCAAGTGTGGAAGAGGGATTTGCAATCGATGTGACCGGAGGCTCTTCCTTCGCCTCTCGTTTCTTTCGTCTCGCAAAGAGCCTCTGGATGGGAAAGATGATGTACATGATGACGTGTACTGAAAATTAGTAAGGCGAACAGCCGACTTATTTCGAGATACGCCGGCAAAGATTTTTATAATAACCATGGTTTATTATCAGTATTTCCATAACATGGCTCTTCACCTGATAATACTGCAAAAAGCATTGCAAATAGAAATATTTTGTAAAACTCTACTAAATAGTAACACAGATCTATGATCTGTGCATGATTTGATATCAGCTGGTAGCAGGGCCGCCGGGAGGGGGGGGGGCAAATTGCCCGTTCCCCACCTTAATAGGGCCTCACGCTGTCTTAGACCGACACTTTAATAACATACTATTTTGCATAAGCACTTTAAGTAATATGAGATATTAACTTCAACAGGTCACAGAGGTGCAATTCGTCTGTACTCAATGAAGCCCCACAAAGACTACAGGAACAACCTCGCAATAACAGTACATGGAAATCAAATAGTTCTGGGCGAGACTGCTTCATGTTGGCTCCCGCACACACCTGGAAATTTGCCAAAGAATTCGACTTACAACGAAAGCAAAACAGTTTCATTTGAACTTGTGAACAGCGATGGATATTACTTGATGCAAAGGGATGACAAGTTTGTGGTGGGGAAATACAACGGCAGTTCTGACTTTGGTAAGTTTTAGAACAGTTTAGGTTCAAGGACGGCGCTAGCCCTATTTTAATGGGAGGTGTAAGTGAATTTCCACTCATGTATATTAAAATATTTTTCGTTCTAAAATTGCGGTTTGAAAATTGTCTGGACATTATATTTATCATTTTCTTGTGGGTTCACGTAGGCCGTTACTCGTTTAGGTTTTCCTTAATGTTACCTTAAATTTTCCCAAATTTCAGGTATAATTGTTAGTTTTTGATCAGTTTTTCTAAAATATTTTAGTTTTTTCACTCTTCCTATCCAATTCATGTTTTGCCGACTGAGAAAACAATTTGCCGACTGGGATACAACAATTTGCTGACTACCTGTCGACTGGGGAGGGGGTGTTGCACCCCTTTTACTCTGTCCCCACCCCTTTTACTCTGTCCCCACCCCTTTTACTCTGTCCCCACCCCTTTTACTCTGTTCCAAGGAAAATAATTATTTGCAGGCTTGTGATAGAGTTATTCTTTAAAATTTAAGCCACTTTAGTTTAGGTTTCCTACTATATTAACACTGGATCAATAAGAAATGCCCCCCTTACTATAGACTTCTGAGAAATTATGAATAATATTTAATGAAGTTGAGACAAAGGATTGTCACGGTATACAGTTCAACATCAAACAAAGGTTTTCTATTTTGTGCCTTTGAAGTTTGCTGGGCTTCCTAGCCATCATATATTGACAAACTATGGTCTAATTTCGATTAAGGCCTGTTTAAACGGATGCAACATTGTCCAACATTGTTGGACCAACAATGTTGGACGATTGTTGGTCAACGTGTTCAAACGTATGCTACAATCCAACAACTTTTAGCAGTCAATTAGTACAAACTTCTGTTTGGAAATAATTATGCAAAGAACAGTGTGACCACCTGTGTGTTGATTGGACAGTATTTAAATACGCATAGATTTTCAAATTTCAATGTTATCGTTTTCATGTTTTCAAGATGGCTACTCTTGCTTACATTCTGTATATGTTAAAATTATTGTCAGTATAGACTTTTACCTCAATCGTTAGTATGAATAAGGGAATTTTTTTAAACTATATCACGTAAGTTTGTGTTGTCAAATTTAAATAATGGAAATATCAATGGAAACGATGACGTTGTACTGATTTTTCGCCAAATGTTGGATGATGTTGGATGAAAAGTTTGAACAAAATCAAACTTGATCCAACATCATCCAACATAATGCAACAATATCCAACATGGTGTTCAAACGGACCCAACATGTTGGACACAACAATGTTGGGTGATGTTGGTACAACATATTGCATCCGTTTAAACAGGCCTTTAGTTAGATTTTTGTAGTCTGTGTCACAATAGTAAGGTCTGTGAAGGTCTGATTCCATGGGCGCTTTTTCTCGGCGAAATGCGAAATATTTCGCATGTTTCTTTTGAATTGTGAGCAATCAAGTAGAAATAATTTATTCGAGTGGTCGCAATTCAAAAGAAACATGCGAAATCTAGATTTCGCATTTCGCCGAAAAAAAGCGCCCGTGGAATCAGGCCTTAACACACGTTAGTTTTTTTGTCACTTTAGTAGTTGTTAACTGCAGTCTTTTTCAAAACCAGGATACGAGTCAAGTTTTACCGAACGTCACAGAGTCAGCGCTCCAGGGACCTCATTTTTCACGCTGTCAGCCGCTCGTCACTGGGCGCGGGCCTTCTGTATTGGCGGCTTGATCGGACGTCGTCGTTACGAAATGAGATTGTTACATGATGATGAAAGTGTCAATTATATACGAAACTGTTCTTTTTATGTCGAACCTGTCGATAATTGTACGCAGCCTAAATATGTCCCAATCATGGAAAAGCCAAAGAACATAACGAAGACGCCCACTGGTAATTAATAATATATCATGGCTAATAATATATATAAACAAATTTCTCAATTCTGATTGGCTAAGAGCAGTGAAATTTCGAGGAAATATAGTGCAGAGAAAAGGATAATCTCGTGAGATTTTTTGCACCTCCCCTGAAAAGTCGTGTACCTTATCTTAGACATGCATCTCTTCTTGGAAAGGTTAAATGATAGATCAAAGTGAAATAGTTTGACAATTTTTTAAGTGTTACTTAGGGTCTACATTTTGTAAGAAGTGATAGCTTCTCCCTGTAAAGCACCCTTTTAATGCAATGTTTCGAAAGAAACTTTGTAGTAATGTAATGTAAACGGCAAAATTGGATGAGTCGTACAGTCATATTTCATAAATACATTGATACATATATACAGTACATGCATACGTCACGTCGTTGACTTTAGGGGTGGGATACATTATTATCCCAGACATCCCATGGGGGCTGTGAGTTAGACCGCTGCACCTTTTCCTAAATGTTTTTCGCCTCCCTTAAACTTTTCCCACCTCCCCCACCCTACCATTTCCACCCAGAACAGAACAGAACAGAACAGAACAGAACAGAACAGAATTAGAACAGAATTAGAACAGAATTAGAACAGAATTAGAACAGAATTAGAACAGAATTAGAACAGAATTAGAACAGAATTAGAACAGAATTAGAACAGAATTAGAAAAGAACAGAACAGAACAGAACAGAACAGAACAGAACAGAACAGAACAGAACAGAACAGAACAGAACAGAACAGAATTAGAACAGAAGAGAAGTAGAACAGAACAGAATTAGAACAGAGCAGAATTAGAACAGAACAGAATTAGAACAGAACAGAACAGAACAGAACAGAACAGAACAGAACAGCACAGCACAGCACAGCACAGCACAGCACAGCACAGCACAGCACAGCACAGCACAGCACAGCACAGCACAGCACAGAACAACAGAAAAGACATTCGACATTTGCAACACTTTAACTGAATGTTTTAACACTATATATTGTTTTCAGACACATGTATATCGCTGTTATTTCTGAACAACGCAGACACAGTAGTCCTTGTCAAAAGTTCAGTGAAGCCAACACCTTACAGAATCACAGAGCCTCGTTTTGACCTAACCATGAAATTCCAGGGAATGGAGTTCACGCCAGTCACGTTCAATGCCTCAGATCCAGAGTTCACTCAGAGAAAATGCTTTCTCAATGGGAAGAAGTATTTTACAATCTCGCCACAAATATTTTGTAACAACACGGTGAATGTTGAGATAGCTTGTGCTTATCAAGGTATGAAATTATTGCATTAGGATAGGTCTATCAGTTCTGTTTTGAAACTGTATTTCCTAGGGGTTCAGTTTATCTCGCCTAAAAATCTTTTCTTTCATCAAAACAATGGTTTGAAATGACAAAAACGTGTGTTAAAAACTCTTTATTAATGTGTGGTTAAATGCAAAGGGTCCATGGACCACAGGCCCATTTTTTCAAAATTTAAACTTTCTTGAAACTATTCCTAGCATTATGAGCATGATCAAAAACTTTTTCTTTCATCAAAACAATGAGTCTCAATTGACAAATATGAAAATTTTGGTCGAATGCAAAGAGGTACTGGGTTTTGACTAAACAATGAGTTTTTTAAAAATGACATCAGTTTATATTAAGAGGAATTTAGTCAAACTTAGTCATGAGTTTTAAGTGATAAAAACATGAAAGTGTTGTTTAGAGAGAGCAAATAAAGCTATCCAATAGAAATACAGTCAAGGCTACCTGAACAACAAATTGATTTTGAAAATTATTTCTTAGCGATAACAACAACGCCGGCACCGACACCAACGCAGCCTCCAACTCAACCCACAGCGCCACCTAAGAAAATGAGGATACTCTGCCCCGGACCCCCAGGTCCTCCCGGCCCACCAGGACCGCCAGGCATGATGGGACGGATAGGCATCCGAGGACCGCCAGGGATAGTTGGAGCTCCGGGTGCGCCGGGTTCTCCTGGAAAGCCTGGATCTAGTAGCATAATCAGGCCGAGTGGGAAAACTTCACATAGAGCACCCAAAGAGAAGGAAACAGCATCACATCAAATATCCATAAATCTCCCTAACATGGTGTCAATATGTTCCTGCAAAGACCCCAGGTGTACTAGGCCAATATGCAGAGACAAAGAAGTAAAACCAGACAAGTACTTAAAACCTGTTTTAAATAAAGATGAACCTTTTTTGTACAATGCTAAACCGGTTTCAGAGAAACATAAACCTGTTTTGGACAAAGATATTAATCCTGTTTTTGACCCATTAAACATCAACGACAACCCGAAAGAAGCAACGATTCTCACACAAAGGTCGGACATACCAAAAATGTCAAATAGACTGTCAAAGAGCCACCAAACGTCGGGTGAAACGCGCACAGATGAATTTGAAGATTCTTCACCGTTCAGACTTCTCACAATGCCCATATGTACGAGCTATGGTCCTCCCGGCCCCCCTGGCCCTCCTGGAACCCCCGGTGTACTTGGACAACAGGGACCTCAGGGGCCTGCAGGACCTCCGGGACATCCAGGTTCCCCTGGGCCGCCAGGATCCCCTGGTGTACAACAGGTAATCCCAAGTGTACCTCAAGGTGAAGTCAAAACAGACTCAGGGCCTTGTTTTAGTTCAGGTCATTTGAACCCATGTAAACTTCCAAATATTATAATAGTACATGACCCACCACCACAACCTCATATTATCCTCCATTCACCCCCAGTACCCCCACCAATTATCCATCGTTTACCCTCACCACCACCCACATGTCCCTCAACATGCACTCAAACATGTACTCCCAGTTGCCCTACATATTGTTGCTCAAATTCGCCCCCATATCAAGAATATTCAAACGACCAGAAATGCTGGTGTCACAATGCCTGCACACGACAAGTGAAACGAAATTGTAGGAGAGTATGTACTTGTGAAAATACTGAAATTGTAAAATAGTGAATTTTAAAAAGTTTTGTATCAACTACAGTTATGTCTCTAGTATTATAATTTTAACAGCAACAACTACAACAGCAGAATGCATGTTTCTTCCCATTCATATTAATTTCAGATGGCTTCGCGCAACTATTATCAATATATAGCTTAGAAAAAGACGCCAAAATCGACCTAAAAGTAAAGGCTAATCCATTAACAATTTGAAATGGCTAATCCATTAACAATTTTAGAATATGAAAAAGTGGCAAAATGATGAAAACGTGAAGTAGTTGCCTTTATATCTTGTCGATAAAAAGTCAAGACGGCAGCCTTTATCTTTTTTAGTCACCTTTATCATTTTAAAGAGTAGCCAAAAATCGCCATAACCCAAAATACTCCATAACCCCCTTTAACATTTTGCCAAATTTGACCAGTTTTTCACATGTTGAAAGTCTGTGGCAAAAAATGGCAAAAAGTAAAATCTAACCTCATAAATATTCGCCCATTTTCAGCCACTTTTATTTTTGAAAAATTGATCAAATATCTCAGCCTCTTTTTATTTTTGAAAAAAAATGTCACTTAAGAAAAAACTAACTAGGAAAAACAATTCTACATAATTCAAGATCAGTAAACTCGATGTTTTTAACAATAAAAATGTTTTAAAATGTTAAAAATATTAAGTTTACTGATCTTGAATTATGCATTATTGATTTTCCTAGTTCAATTAAAAGGGCTGAAATGTGCCTTAAAAACCATGCATCATTAGAAAGGCTGAACTGTGCCTTTAACTATTTGTTCATTTTAGCCCTTTTTTCCACTTTTGAGAAATGTGTAAAAAATAGCGAAAAAGGTAAGGCCTAACCCTTAATCTTCCCTCCATTTTTAGCCTTTTTTCAATTTTTGAAATCCGGCACAAAAATAGTGAAAAAGGCAGGGGTAACCCCTTAACTTTTTTCATTTCTGAAAAACGAGCAAAACATGCATGGCAAAAAGGTAAGGCTAACACCCCTTAATAATGTTTCGTCGAGTTTTTTCCAGTTTTGAGCAATGTAAAAAAAATATCAAAAAAGGCAAAGTTTATAACCCCTATAAAGGAGCAAAAAATGGGAAAAAAGGCTAAAAAAGTAAAGGCTAACCTCTTATATTCCGTCCATTTTAGACCGTTTATTTATTTCTATAAAATAGGCCAAAAATCGCCAAAAAATTAAGGTTGTCCTTTTAAATTTTCGCTCATTTTTAGGAATTACTTTATTTCTGAAAAAAGGGCCAAAAAGTTAAGGTTAACCCCTTAACTTTTTGTTATTTTATAGCGTTTTTTCCTAAAAATAGGCCAAAAAAGACAAAAAGTAAAGGCTAACCCCTTCAATTTGCGTGGGCCATAAATGTTGAAAGTAGGCCAAAAATCGCCAATAATTACTTCAGTGTAGGCGAGATGGTCTAGTGGTAAGGACAAAGTGTTGCAAGTGCACGAAGCTAGGTTCGATTCCTGGTTGTGTCAAAAGCATTTTTTCAACCCGAAACGAGAAAAAGTTAAGTAGAATAAAAAGGGAAGCAAGTGTAAGCGAGATGGTCTAGTGGTATAGGACAAAGTGCTGCAAGTGCGTGAAGCCGGGTGTTTGTATTACCGAGTAATGAGTAATGAATTTTCGTACTTGCTTTGGACTAAACCATGAAAACATTGACTGCACTCACTCCTTGCTGTCCATTATAATGCTGTTACAGTGTCAGCAGTATCAACATTATTATTATTATTATTATTATTATAAATTTCCAAACTAGCAGTAACAACTGAATTACTTTGGAATTACAGGGTATAAGAACATAGGTATTTAATCTATTCTATATTTACAGGTAAAAATAGGTAAGTTAGATAAAAATAACGATAATAATCTAAAGTTTACTTATTATTATAAGCACGAGACGCAGCAGGAATGAAACTGTTCAAAAAACGTTCAGTTCTACACCTAGGTACTAATAAGTTGGGATAAGACCTCAGATTATAAGTTTGAAGACTTTTAGGCGGTACTAAGGCATTCAGTTTATGAGTGGGTTCCAACATCTTCGAAAAAAGTCGCTTGCAATGGACAGTTCTACGGTCGTAAAGAGTCGTCAAGTTAGCTTTAAGCAAACATTCAGCATAGATAGTTCCAGGGAAAATAATTTTTAACGCCCTTTTTTGTATTTTTTCAACTTGATCACTCAGGTAATGAGGAAGGCCATAATGCCACACCTGACAAGCATATTCGACAATTGGTCGAATATGTGTACAATAGGTTGAGATCAGAATTGAGAAGGTAAAGCATTTCTTTTAAGAAGGCGCAGACCGTACAAACGCTTCGCGGCTTTCTTGCAAATGTAGTCAATATGGCAGTTCCATTTGAGGTCGTCCGAAAGGACAACGCCCAATAGTTTGGCCTCGAAAACGACGTCGACCTCTTGACCGCGAATGGTAATAGGGGCAAACGATGGGGTAAGCTTAGAAAAGCAGACACGCAATTCTTTGGTCTTTGATACATTTAACTTCATATTATTGTCTGATGACCATTCAGAGCAGCTGATGATGTTAGCGGGTAACTGGGAAGGGGAATTGTTTGATATTATTTCCCAAAGGCTAGTATCATCGACAAATTTAACAGTTTCATCCACTACAGCCAAGTCATTTATCATGATCAAAAATAATAGTGGGCCAAGCTTCGTTCCTTGTGGGACGCCGGCGTTTAAAAACTTCCACTCAGAAAAGAACTGACCAACACGGGTTCTTTGTTGTCTGCCTGTTAGGAAGTTTGCGATCCAGTTGAGTAACACGGGATGAATTTCCATGTCTTTCAATTCTTCCAACAGAATGTTATGATCTAATCTATCAAACGCCTTGGCAAAATCAAGTAAACAAATCCGTATAGTGTTGCCTTGTTTGTCAGCTGCTTCAAACCATTTATGTAGCATGTAGATTAATGCCATACTAGTGCTTGAACCCTTCAGCGAACCAAATTGCAAGGAATCAATTTTTTTTGAGACGGAGTCAAGGAGCCATTTGTAGGGAAAGGATTCAAGAATCTTGCTGATAATTGGTGTGAGGGAGATTGGTCTGAAGTCAGAATCAACATCTTTAGGAGGCGAAGATTTTTGAACTGGTGTAATATTTGCTGCCTTCCATATTGAGGGAACAAATCCTTCACGAACTGATGAATTAAAAATAGAACACAAAGGTCGACACAACACGGAAGCGTTTTCCCGGAGAAGCCAAGAAGGAATTTCATCGGGACCAGCAGATGAATGAAGTTTAGATGATAATAGGGCCTTTTCATTCTCCTCGACAGAGATGCAGAAATCATCTGGAATGTCATTTGTGGGAAGGGGGAGCCAGTTTAGATTGGGTAAGGAGGACCCTACAGCAACGAACTTGTCGTTGAGCAAATTTGCTAAATCGGCATCAGAGTAGGATTTACCTTAAAACATCATTGTAGATACATTCTTAGAAGACTGAAGACCGGCAATATTCTTCACCGCTGACCACCATTTACGAGAATCGGACTGTTGAACGCCCGCGATACTTTTATTGTAGTAATTTAGTCGTGCTTTTTTGCAAAGTGCATTGACTTTGTTTCGATAGAATCTGAACATCAGGTTATTGCCAGCCGCCCATGCTGTTTGCCGCTTGGAAATAAGAGATTTTATTTCGGAAGTAATCCAAGGCTTGTCACTAGAATCAATTTCCAAGGCTTGTTTACATGGCCATAATATTCACGACAAGGAGTGAGTGGAACCACAGTCAATGTTTTCATGGTTTATCTTTCCAAAGCAAGTACGAAAATTCATTACTCATACTCATTACTCGAAATACAAACACCCCCTTGAAGTTCAATAGAACATCAGGTTCGAAACAGCATACTATTAACTTTCACGTCTTTTTCGATTACACAGCTGAAAAAACTTGCTTTTTATGTTCACGGACTGTCTAGTTATATGCAAGAATGGGGCATCGACAGAAAGCCGATTGACCGTAGGTTCCAAAAATACAATTTTCAGAACGTGGCAAATTCACGTTTTTGCTACAAGCAGCCGTGAAATTCAATAAAACATCAGGTCCGAAATAGCATAATATTAACTTTCACGTCTTTTTCGATTACACAGCAAGAAAAACTTGCTTTTTATGTCCACGGACTGTCTAGTTATGCTAGAATGAGGCATCGACAGAAATGCTATTGACCGTAGTTTCCAAAAATACAATTTTCAGACCGTGGTAAATTCAAGCTTTTGCTATAGAAGGGGTCTTGAAATTCAATAGAACATCAGGTTCAAAATAGCATAATTTAACTTAAGTTTCACTTCTTTTTCGATTACACAGCTGGAAAAACTTGCTTTTTATGTCCACGGATTGTCTAGTTATGCAAGGAAGAGCCATCGACAGAAAGCCTATTGACCGTAGATTCCAAAAATACAATTTTTAGACCGTGGTAAATTCACGTTTTTGCTACAAGGGGCCTTGAAATTCAATAGAACATCCGGTGCGAAACAGCATAATATTAACTTTCACGTCTTTTTCGATTACACAGCTGGAAAAACTTGCTTTTTATGTCCACGGATTCTCTAGTTATGCAAGGAAGAGCCATCGACAGAAAGCCTATTGACCGTAGATTCCAAAAATACAATTTTTAGACCGTGGTAAATTCACGTTTTTGCTACAAGGGGCCTTGAAATTCAATAGAACATCCGGTGCGAAACAGCATAATATTAACTTTCACGTCTTTTTCGATTACACAGCTGGAAAAACTTGCTTTTTATGTCCACGGATTCTCTAGTTATGCAAGGAAGAGCCATCGACAGAAAGCCTATTGACCGTAGATTCCAAAAATACAATTTTTAGACCGTGGTAAATTCACGTTTTTGCTACAAGGGGCCTTGAAATTCAATAGAACATCCGGTGCGAAACAGCATAATATTAACTTTCACGTCTTTTTCGATTACACAGCTGGAAAAACTTGCTTTTTATGTCCACGGATTCTCTAGTTATGCAAGGAAGAGCCATCGACAGAAAGCCTATTGACCGTAGATTCCAAAAATACAATTTTTAGACCGTGGTAAATTCACGTTTTTGCTACAAGGGGCCTTGAAATTCAATAGAACAAAAGGTGCGAAACAGCATAATATTAACTTTCACGTCTCTTTCGATTGCACAGCGGGAAAAACTTGCTTTTTATGTCCACGGACTGTCTAGTTATGCAAGAATGAGGCATCGACAGAAGGACTATTGACCGTAGATTCCACTGGAAAATACAATTTTTAGACCGGCATAAATTCAAGTTTTTGCTGCAAGGTGCCTTGAAATTCAATAGAACAAAAGGATCGAAACAGCATAGTATTAACTTTCACGTCTCTTTCGATTACACAGCGGGAAAAACGTGCTTTTTATGGGCACGGACTGTCTAGTTATGCAAAAAAGAGGCATCTACAAAAAGCCTATTGACCGTAGATTCCAAAAATACAATTTTTAGACCGTGGTAAATTCACGTTTTTGCTGCAAGGGGCCTTGAAATTCAATAGAACAAAAGGTTTGAAACAGCATAATATTAACTTTCACGTCTCTTTCGAATACACAGCAGGAAAAACTTGCTTTTTATGTCCACGGACTGTCTAGTTATGCAAGAATGAGGCATCGACACAAATACTATTGACCGTAGATTCCAAAAACACAATTTTCAGACCGGCATAAATTCAAGTTTTTGCTACAAGGGGCCTTGAAATTCAATAGAACAAAAGGTACGAAAAAGCATAATATTATAAAACTTTGACGTCATTTTCGATTACACAGCTGGAAAAACCTGCTTTTTATCTCCACGTACGGCCTAGTGATGCCTGAATAAGGCATCCACAGAAAGCTTATTTACCGTAGATTCCAAAAATAGAATTTTGAGACTGGCCCAAATTCAAGACTCTGCAACAGAAGCCTTCAAATTCAATAGGACATAAGGTTCGAAACAGCATAATATTAAGTTTCACGTCTTTTTCGATTGCAGAGCTGGAAAAAGCTGCTTTTTATGTCCACGGACTGTCTTGTTATGCAAGAATGGGGCATCGACAGAAAGCCTACCGAACGTGGATTCCAAAAACCAATTTTCAGACCGGCGTAATTTCCGGGTTTTGCTACAACAGGTATTGAAATTCAATTTCTCAAAAGGTTCCAAATAGCATAATATTAACTTTCGCGTCTTTTTCGATTACACAGCTGAAAAAACTTGCTTTTTATGCTCACTTGTTATGCAAGAATGAGCCATCGACAGAAAGCCTATGGACCGTGGATTCCAAAAATACAATTATCAGACCGGCGTAAATTCCGGTTTTTGCTACAAGGGGCCTTGAAATTCAATAAAGGTTCGAAATAGCATAATATTAACTTTCGAGTCTTTTTCGATTACACAGCTGAAAAAACTTGCTTTTTATGTTCCCGAACTGTCTTGTTATACATGAATAAGCATCGACAGAAAGCTTATTGAACGTAGATTCCAAAAATACAATTTTCAGACCGTGACAAAAACTTGTTTTTGCTACAAGGGGCCTTGAAATTCAATAGAACAAAATGTACAAAATAGCATAATATTAACTTTCAGGTCTTTTACGATTGCGCAGCTGGAAAAACCTGCTTTTTATCTCCACGTACGGCATAGTGATGCCTGAATAAGGCATCGACAGAAACCCTATTGACCGGAGATTCCAAAAATACAATTTTGAGACTAGCCCAAATTCAAGGCTCTGCTATAGGAGCCTTCAAATTCAATAGGACATAAGGTTCGAACCAGCATAATATTAACTTTCACGTCTTTTTCGATTGCAGAGCTGGAAAAACCTGCTTTTTATCTACACGGACTGTCTTGTTATGCAAAAATGAGGCATCGGCTTCTAGCTTATTGAACGTAGATTCCAAATATACAATTTTCTGACCGTGACAAATTCAAGTTTTTGCTACAAGGGGCCTTGAAATTCAATAGAAGAAAATGTACGAAATAGCATAATATTACCTTTCAGGTCTTTTTCGATTGCGGAGCTGGAAAAACCTGCTTTTTATCTCCACGTACGGCACAGCGATGCCTGAATAAGGCATCGACAGAAATCCTATTGACAGTAGATTCCAAAAATACAATTTTGAGACTGGCCCAAATTCAAGGCTCTGCTATAGGAGCCTTCAAATTCAATAGGACATAAGGTTCGAAACAGCATAATATTAACTTTCACGTCTTTTTCGAATGCAGAGCTGGAAAAACCTGTTTTTTATGTACACGGACTGTCTTGTTGTGCAAGAATGATGCATCACCAGAAAGCTTTTTGAACGTAGATTCCAAAAATACAATTTTCAGATCGTGACAAATTCAAGTTTTTGCTACAAGGGGCCTTGAAATGCAATAGAACAAAATGTACCAAATAGCATAATATTAACTTTGACGTCTTTGTCGATTACACAGGCTGGAAAAACCCGCTTTTTATCTCCACGAACGTCCTAATGATGACTGTATAAGGTTTCGACAGAACGCCTATTGATCGTAGATTCCAAAAATACAATTTTGAGACTGGCCCAAATTCAAGACTCTGCTATACAGGAGCCTTCAAATTTACAGAACGTAAGGTTCGAAACAGTATAATATTAACTTTCACGTCTTTTTCGATTACACTCCTCACCACGAGGACAAGGTTCCTCAACCAAAGGACAAGGTTCCTCACGCTGAGGACAAGGTTCCTCACGCTGAGGACAAGGTTTCTCACGCTGACGACAAGGTCCCTCAAGCTGAGGACAAGGTTCCTCACGCTGAGGACAAGGCTCCTCACGCTGAGGACAAGGCTCCTCACGGTGAGGACAAGCCTCCTCACGCTGAGGACAAGGCTCCTCACCCTGAGGACAAGGTTCCTCATTCTGAGGACAAGGTTCCTCACCCTGAGGACAAGGTTCCTCAAGCTGAGGACAAGGCTCCTAACGCTAAGGACAAGGCTCCTCACCCTGAGGGCAATGTTCCTCACCATGAGGACAAGGTTCCTCATCCTGAGGACAAGGTTCCTCGTCCTGAGGACAAGGTTCCTCACGCTGAGGACATGGTTCCTCACGCTGAGGACAAGGTTTCTCACGCTGAGGACAAGGTCCCTCACGCTGAGGACAAGGTTCCTCACGCTGAGGACAAGGCACCTCACGCTGAGGACAAGGCTCCTCACGGTGAGGACAACGCTCCTCACGCTGAGGACAAGGCTCCTCACCCTGAGGACAAGGTTCCTCATCCTGAGGACAAGGTTCCTCACCCTGAGGACAAGGTTCCTCACGCTGAGGACAAGGCTCCTCACGCTAAGGACAAGGCTCCTCACCCTGAGGGCAAGGCTACTCACCCTGAGAACAAGGTTCCTCATCCTGAGGACAACGTTCCTCACGCTGAGGACAAGGTTCCTCACACTGAGTACAAGGTTTTTCACGCTGAGGACAAGGTTCCTGACTCTACATGAGGACAAGGTTCCTCGACTCTGAGGACAAGGTTCTTCACCCTGAGGACAAGGCTCCTCAAGCTGAGGGCAAGGTTCCTTACGCTGAGGACAAGGCTCCTCGAGCTGAGGACAAGGCTCCTCACGCTGAGGACAAGGTTCCTCACCCTGAGGACAAGGCTCCTCACGCTAAGGACAACGCTCCCCACCTGAGGGTAAGGCTCCTCACCCTGAGGACAACGTTCCTCACCCTGAGGACAAGGTTCCTCACCCTCAGGAGAAGGTTCCTCACCCTGAGGACAAGGTTTCTCACGCTGAGGACCAGGTTCCTGACTCTGCATGACGACAAGGTTCCTGACTCTGAGGACCAGGTTCCTCACCCTGAGGACAAGGTTCTCACGATGAAGACAAGGTTCCTTACGCTGAGGACAAGGCTCCTCACGCTGAGGACAAAGCTCCTCACGGTGAGGACAAGGCTCCTCACGGTGAGGACAAGCCTCCTCACGCTGAGGACAAGGCTCCTCACCCTGAGGACAAGGTTCCTCATTCTGAGGACAAGGTTCCTCACCCTGAGGACAAGGTTCCTCAAGCTGAGGACAAGGCTCCTAACGCTAAGGACAAGGCTCCTCACCCTGAGGGCAATGCTCCTCACCATGAGGACAAGGTTCCTCATCCTGAGGACAAGGTTCCTCGTCCTGAGGACAAGGTTCCTCACGCTGAGGACATGGTTCCTCACGCTGAGGACAAGGTTTCTCACGCTGAGGACAAGGTCCCTCACGCTGAGGACAAGGTTCCTCACGCTGAGGACAAGGCACCTCACGCTGAGGACAAGGCTCCTCACGGTGAGGACAACGCTTCTCACGCTGAGGACAAGGCTCCTCACCCTGAGGACAAGGTTCCTCATCCTGAGGACAAGGTTCCTCACCCTGAGGACAAGGTTCCTCACGCTGAGGACAAGGCTCCTCACGCTAAGGACAAGGCTCCTCACCCTGAGGGCAAGGCTCCTCACCCTGAGAACAAGGTTCCTCATCCTGAGGACAACGTTCCTCACGCTGAGGACAAGGTTCCTCACACTGAGTACAAGGTTTCTCACGCTGAGGACAAGGTTCCTGACTCTACATGAGGACAAGGTTCCTCGACTCTGAGGACAAGGTTCTTCACCCTGAGGACAAGGCTCCTCAAGCTGAGGGCAAGGTTCCTTACGCTGAGGACAAGGCTCCTCGAGCTGAGGACAAGGCTCCTCACGCTGAGGGCAAGGTTCCTCACCCTGAGGACAAGGCCCCGACTCTGTTGAGAAGGTTCCTCACCTTGAGGACAAGTTTCCTCACGCTGAGGACAAGGTTTCTTCCGCTGAGGACAAGGTTCCTCACGATGAGGACAAGGCTCCTCACCCTGAGGACAAGGTTTCTCACCCTGAGGACAAGGTTCCTCACCATGAGGACAAGGTTCCTGACTCTGAGGACAAGGTTCCTCACCCAGAGGACAAGGTTCCTCACGATGAAGACAAGGTTCATTACGCTGAGGACAAGGTTCCTCACCCTGAGGACAAGGTTCCTCACGCTGAGGACAAGGCTCCTTACCCTGAGGACAAGGTTCCTCACCCTGAGGACAAGGTTCCTCACCATGAGGACAAGGTTCCTGACTCTGAGGACAAGGTTCCTCACCCAGAAGACAAGGTTCCTCACGATGAAGACAAGGTTCCTTACGCTGAGGACAAGGCTCCTCACTCTGAGGACAAGGCAACTCACGCTGAGGAAAAGGTTCCTCACCCTGAGGACAAGGTTCCGACTCTGTGGACAAGGTTTCTCACCCTGAAGACAAGGTTCCTCACGCTGAGCACACGGTTCCTCACGCTGATGACAAGGTTCCTCACCCTGAGAACAAGGCTCCTCACCCTTAGGACAAGGTTCCTCACCCTGAAGACAAGGCTCCTCACGCTAAGGACAAGGCTCCTGACCCTGAGGGCAAGCTTCCTCACCCTGAAGACAAGGTTCCTCACCATTAGGACAAAGTTCCTCACGCTGAGCACAAGATTCCTCACGCTCAGGACAAGGTTTCGTACGCTGAGGACAAGGTTCCTCACCCTGAGGACTAGGCTCCTCATCTGAGGACAAGGTTCCTCACCTTGAGGACAAGGTTTCTCACGCTGAGGAGAAGGTCCTGACACTGCACGAGAACAACGTTCCTGGCTCCGGATTATTATTTATATATTATTGGCCTTGTCCTTAGTGTGAGGAGCCTTCCCCTCAGGGTGAGGAACCTTGTCCTCAGGGTGTGGAGCCTTGTCCTCAGGGTGAGGAACCTTGTCCTCAGCGTGAGGAACCTTGTCCTCAGTGTGAGGAACCATGTCCTCAGGGTGAGGAGCTTTGTCCTCAACGTGAGGTACCTTGTCCTCAGGGTGAGAAATCTTGTCGACAGCGTGAGCAACCTTGTCATCAGCGTGAGGAGCCTTGTCCTCAGCGTAAGGAACCTTGTCCTCAGCCTGAGGAGCCTTGTCCTAAGGGTGAGGAACCTGGTTCTCAGAGTCAGGAACCTTGTCGTCATGCAGAGTCAGGAACCTGGTCCTCAGCGTGAGAAACCTTGTCCTCAGGGTGAGGAACCTTGTCCTAAGGGTGAGGAACCTTGTCCTCAGGGTGAGGAACGTTGTCCTCAGGGTGAGGAGCCTTACCCTCAGGGTGGGGACCCTTGTCCTTAGCGTGAGGAACCTTGTCCTCAGGGTGAGGAACCTTGTCCTCAGCCTGAGGAGCCTTGTCCTAAGGGTGAGGAACCTTGACCTCAGCGTGAGGAACCTTGTCCTCAGCGTGAGGAACGTTGTCCTCAGGGTGAGGAACCTTGTCCTCAGCGTGAGGTGCCTTGTCCTCAGCGTGAGGAACCTTGTCCTCACCGTGAGGGACCTTGTCCTCAGCGTGAGAAACCTTGTCCTCAGCGTGAGGACAAGGCTCCTCGAGCTGAGGACAAGGCTCCTCACGCTGAGGGCAAGGTTCCTCACCCTGAGGACAAGGCTCCGACTCTGTTGAGAAGGTTTCTCACCCTGACGACAAGGTTCCTCACGCTGAGGACAAGGTTTCTTCCGCTGAGGACAAGGTTCCTCACGCTGAGCACAAGGCTCCTCACCCTGAGGACAAGGTTCCTCACCCTGAGGACAAGGTTCCTCACCATGAGGACAAGGTTCCTGACTCTGAGGACAAGGTTCCTCACCCAGAGGACAAGGTTCCTCACGATGAAGACAAGGTTCCTTACGCTGAGGACAAGGCTCCTCACGCTGAGGACAAGGCAACTCACGCTGAGGAAAAGGTTCCTCACCCTGAGGACAAGGTTCCGACTCTGTGGACAAGGTGTCTCACCCTGAAGACAAGGTTCCTCACGCTGAGCACACGGTTCCTCACGCTGATGACAAGGTTCCTCACCCTGAGAACAAGGCTCCCCACCCTTAGGACAAGGTTCCTCACCCTGAAGACAAGGCTCCTCACGCTAACGACAAGGCTCCTGACCCTGAGGGAAGCTTCCTCACCCTGACGACAAGGTTCCTCACCATTAGGACAAGGTTCCTCACGCTGAGGACAAGATTCCTCACGCTCAGGACAAGGTTTCGTACGCTGAGGACAAGGTTCCTCACCCTGAGGACTAGGCTCCTCATCTGAGGACAAGGTTCCACACCTTGAGGACAAGGTTTCTCACGCTGAGCAGAAGGTTCCTGACACTGCACGAGGACAACGTTCCTGACTCCGAGGACAAGGTTCCTCACCCTGAGGACAACGTTCCTCACGATGAAGACAAGGTTCCTTACGCTGAGGACAAGGTTCCTCACCCTGAGGACAAGGTTCCTCACGTTGAGGACAAGGCTCCTCACCCTGAGGACAAGGTTCCTCACGCTGAGGACAAGGTTCCTCACGCTGAGGACAAGGTTCCTCACCCTTAGGACAAGGCTCCTCAGGCTGAGGACAAGGTTCCTCACCCTGAGGACAAGGCTCCTCACGCTAAGGACAACGCTCCCCACCCTGAGGGTAAGGCTCCTCACCCTGAGGACAACGTTCCTCACCCTCAGGAGAAGGTTCCTCACCCTGAGGACAAGGTTTCTCACGCTGAGGACCAGGTTCCTGACTCTGCATGACGACAAGGTTCCTGACTCTGAGGACCAGGTTCCTCACCCTGAGGACAAGGTTCTCACGATGAAGACAAGGTTCCTTACGCTGAGGACAAGGCTCCTCACGCTGAGGACAAGGTTCCTCACGCTGTGGACAAGATTCCTCACCCTGAGGACAAGGTTCCTCACGTTGAGGACAAAGCTCCTCACCCTGAGGACATGGTTCCTCACGCTGAGGACAAGGCTCCTCACCCTGAGGACAAGGTTCCTCACCCCGAGGAGAAGGCTCCTCACGCGAAGGACAAGGCTCCTCACCCTGAGGGAAGACTCCTCACCCTGAGGACAAGGGTCCTCACCCTGAGGACAAGGTTCCTCACGCTCAGGACAAGGTTCCTCACGATGAGGACAAGGTTCCTCACCATGAGGACAAGGTTCCTGACTCTACATGAGGACAAGGTTCCTGACTATACATGAGGACAAGGTTGCTGACTCTGAGGACAAGGTTCCTCACGCTGAGGACAAGGCTCCTCACCCTGAGGACAAGGTTCCTCACCATGAGAACAAGGTTCCTCACCATGAGGACAAGGTCCTTACTCTGAGGACAAGGTTCCTTACACTGAGGGCAAGGTTCCTCACGATGAAGACAAGGTTCCTTACACTGAGGACAAGGCTCCTCACGATCAGGACAAGACTCCTTACGCTGTAGACAAGGTTCCTCACCATAAGCACAAGGTTCCTCTCCCTGAGGACAAGGCTCCTCACACTGAGGACAAGGTTCCTCACACTGAGGAGAAGGCTCCTCACGCTAAGGAGAAGGCTCCTCACCCTGAGGGCAAGACTCCTCACCCTGAGGACAAGAGTCCTCACCCTGAGGACAAGGTTCCTCACGCTGAGGACAAGGTTCCTCACGATGAGGACAAGGTTCCTCACGCTCAGGACAAGGTTCCTGACTCTACATGAGGACAAGGTTGCTGACTCTGAGGACAAGGTTCCTCACGCTGAGGACAAGGCTCCTCACCCTGAGGACAAGGCTCTTCACCATGAGGACAAGGTTCCTCACCATGAGGACAAGGTCCTGACTCTGAGGACAAGGTTCCTTACACTGAGGGCAAGGTTCCTCACGATGAAGACAAGGTTCCTTACACTGAGGACAAGGCTCCTCACGATGAGGACAAGGCTCCTTACGCTGTGGACAAGGTTCCTCACCCTGAGGACAAGGTTCCACAAGCTGAGGACAAGGTTCCTCACCCTGACGACAAGGTTCCTCACGCTAAGGACAAGGCTCCTCACGCTGAGGACAAGGTTGCTCACCCTGAGGACAAGTTCCTCGCGATGAAGACAATGTTCTTTACGCTGAGGATAAGGCTCCTCACGCTGTGGACAAGGTTCCTCACGCTGTGGACAAGGTTCCTCACGCTGAGGACAAGGTTTCTCACGCTGAGGACAAGGTTCCTGACTCTACATGAGTACAAGGTTCCCCGACTCTGAGGACAAGGTTCTTCACCCTGAGGACAAGGCTCCTCAAGCTGAGGACAAGGTTCCTCACGCTGTGGAAAAGATTCCTCACCCTGAGAACAAGGTTCCTCACGTTGAGGACATGGTTCCTCACGCTGAGGACAAGGTTCCTCACGCTGAGGACAAGGTTCCTCACGCTGAGGACAAGTTTCCTCACACTGAGGACAAGGCTCCTCACCCTGAGGAAAAGGGTCCTCACCCTGAGGAGAAGGCTCCTCACGCTAAGGACAAGGTTCCTCACCCTGAGGACAAGGCTCCTCACCCTGAGGACAAGGTTCCTCACCCTGAGGAGAAGGCTCCTCACGCTAAGGGCAAGGCTCCTCACCCTGAGGGCAAGACTCCTCACCCTGAGGACAAGGGTCCTCACCCTGAGGACAAGGTTCCTCACGCTGAGGACAAGGTTTTTCACGATGAGGACAAGGTTCCTCACGCTCAGGACAAGGTTACTGACTCTACATGAGGACAAAGTTCCTGTCTCTACATGAGGACAAGGTTCCTGACTCAGAGGACAAGGTTCCTCACGCTGAGGACAAGGCTCCTCACCCTGAGGACAAGGTTCCTCACCATGAGGACAAGGTTCCTCACCATGAGGACAAGGTCCTGACTCTGAGGACAAGGTTCCTTACACTGAGGGCAAGGTTCCTCACGATCAAGACAAGGTTCCTTACACTGAGGACAAGGCTCCTCACGATGAGGACAAGTCTCCTTACGCTGTTGACAAGGTTCCTCACCCTGAGGACAAGGTTCCACAAGCTGAGGACAAGGTTCCTCACCCTGAGGACAAGGTTCCTCACGCTGAGGACAAGGCTCCTCACGCTGAGGACAAGGTTGCTCACCCTGAGGACAAGTTCCTCGCGATGAAGACAAGGTTCTTTACGCTGAGGATAAGGCTCCTCACGCTGTGGACAAGGCTCCTCACGCTGTGGACAAGGTTCTTCACCCTGAGGACAAGGTTCCTCACGCTGAGGACAACGTTCGTCATCGTGAGGACAAGGTTCCTCACGCTGAGGACAAGGCTCCTCACGCTAAGGACAAGGCTCTTCACCCTGAGGGCAAGGCTCCTCACGCTGAGGACAAGGTTCCTCATCCTGAGGACAAGGTTCCCCACGCTGAGGACAATGTTCCTCACGCTGAGGACAAGGTTTCTCACGCTGAGGACAAGGTTCCTGACTCTAGATGAGGACAAGGTTCCTCGACTGTGAGGACAAGGTTCTTCACCCTGAGGACAAGGCTCCTCAAGCTGAGGACAAGGTTCCTTACGCTGAGGACAAGGCTCCTCGAGCTGAGGACAAGGCTCCTCACGCTGAGGGCGATGTTCCTCACCCTGAGGACAAGGCTCCGACTTTGTTGAGAAGGTTCCTCACCCTTAGGACAAGGTTCCTCACGTTGAGGACAAGTTTCCTCACGCTGAGGACAAGGCTCCTCACCCTGAGGACAAGGTTCCTCACCCTGAGGACAAGGTTCCTCACCATGAGGACAAGGTTCCTGACTCTGAGGAAAAGGTTCCTCACCCGGAGGACAAGGTTCCTCACGATGAAGACAAGGTTCCTTACGCTGAGGACAAGGCTCCTCACGCTGAGGACAAGGCTCCTCACACTGAGGATAAGGTTCCTCACCCTGAGGACAAGGTTCCGACTCTGTGGACAAGGTTTCTCACCCTGAGGACAAGGTTCCTCACGCTGAGGACCAGGTTCCTGACTCTGCATGAGGACAAGGTTCCTGACTCTGAGGACCAGGTTCCTCACCCTGAGGACAAGGTTCTCACGATGAAGACAAGGTTCCTGACGCTGAGGACAAGGCTCCTCACACTGAGGACAAGGTTCCTCACGCTGTGGACAAGATTCCTCACCCTGAAAACAAGGTTCCTCACGTTGAGGACAAGGCTCCTCACCCTGTGGACAAGGTTCCTCACGCTGAGGACAAGGTTCCTCACGCTGAGGACAAGGTTCCTCACCCCGAGGACAAGGCTCCTCACCCTGAGGACAAGGTTCCTCACCCTGAGGAGAAGCCTCCTCACGCTAAGGACAAGGCTCCTCACGCTGTGGACAAGGTTCCTCACCCTGAGGACAAGGTTCCTCACGCTGAGGACAAGGTTCCTCAGCCTGAGGACAAGGTTCCTCACTCTGAGGACAAGGGTACTCACCCTGAGGACAAGGTTCCCCACCCTGAGGACAAAGTTCCTCACGATGAGGACAAGGTTCCTCACGCTCAGGACAAGGTTCCTGACTCTACATGAGGACAAGGTTCCTGACTCTACATGAGGACAAGGTTCCTGACTCTGAGGACAAGGTTCCTAACGCTGAGGACAAGGCTCCTCACCCTGAGGACAAGGTTCTTCACCATGAGGACAAGGTTCCTCACCATGAGGACAAGGTCCTGACTCTGAGGACAAGGTTCCTTACACTGAGGGCAAGGCTCCTCACACTGAGGACAAGGTTCCTCACGCTGTGGACAAGATTCCTCACCCTGAGGACAAGGTTCCTCACGTTGAGGACAAGGCTCCTCACCCTGTGGACAAGGTTCCTCACGCTGAGGACAAAGTTCCTCACGCTGAGGACAAGGTTCCTCACCCCGAGGACAAGGCTCCTCACCCTGAGGACAAGGTTCCTCACCCTGAGGAGAAGCCTCCTCACGCTAAGGACAAGGCTCCTCACGCTGTGGACAAGGCTCCTCACCATGAGGACAAGGTTCCTGACTCTGAGGTCAAGGTTCCTCACCCTGAGGACAAGGTTCCTCACGCTGAGGAATAGGTACCTCACCCTGAGGACAAGGTTCCTGACTCTGAGGACAAGGGTCCTCACCCTGAGGACAAGGCTCCTCACCCTGAGGACAAGGTTCCTCACGATGAAGCAAAGGTTCCTTACGGTGAGGATAAGGCTCCTCACGCTGTGGACAAGGCTCCTCACGCTGTGGACAAGGTTCCTCACCCTGTGGACAAGGTTCCTGACTCTGAGGACAAGGTTCCTCACCGTGTGTTCAAGGGTCCTCACGCTGAGGACAGGGCTCCTCAGGCTGAGGACAAGGCCCCTCACGCTGAGGACAAGGTTCCTCACCCTGAGGACAAGGTTCCTCACGCTGAGGACAAGGTTCCTCACGCTGAGGACAAAGTTCGACACTCTGAAAACAAGATTCCTCACGCTGAGGACAAGATTCTTCACCCTGAGGACAAGGTTCCTCACGCTGAGAAGAAGGTTCCTCACGCTGAGGACAAGGTGCCTCACGCTGAGAACAAGGTTCCTCACGTTGAGGACAATACTCCTCAGCCTGAGGACAGGGCTCCTCACGCTGAGGACAAGGTTCTTCACTCTGAGGACAAAGTTCCTCACCCTGAGGACAAGGTTCCTCACGCTGAGGACAAGGCTCCTCACGCTGAGAATAGGGCTCATCTATTCGAGGACAAGGTTCCTCACCCTGAGGACTAGGTTCCTGACTCTGAGGAGAAGGGTTCTCACCGTAAGGACAAGGTTCCTCACACTGAGGACAAGTTTCCTCACGCCGAGGACCGGGTCTCTGACGCTGAGGAGAAGGTTCCTGACACGGATGACAAGGTTCCTCAACGTGAGGAGAAGGTTCCTCACGCTGAGGACAAGGATCTTCACCCCGAGGACAAGGTTCCTCACCTTAAGCACAAGGTTCCTCACGCTGAGGACAAGGTTCCTCACGCTGAGGACAAGGTTCCACACTCTGAAAACAAGATTCCTCACGCTGAGGACAAGATTCTTCACCCTGAGGTCCAGGTTCCTCACCCTGAGTACAAGGTTGCTGATCCCGAGGACAAGGTTCCTGACTCTGAGGACAAGGTTTATCACGCTGAGGACAAAGTTCCTGACGCTGAGGACAAGGGTCCTCACGCTGAGAACAGGGCTCCCGTCGCAGAGGACAAGGTTCCTCACCCTGAAGACTAAGTTCCTGACTCTGAGGACAAGGGTTCTCACCGTGAGGACAAGGTTCCTCGAGCTGAGGACAAGGTTCCTCACGCTGAGGACAATTTTCCTGACTCTGAGGACAAGGTTCCTGACGGTGAGGACAAGGTTTTTCACGCTGAGGACAAGGTTCTTCACTCTGAGGACGAAGTTCCACACACTGAGGACAAGGTTCCTCACGCTGAGGACAATGCTTCTCACGCGGAGGACAGGGCTCATCTCGCTGAGGACAAGGTTCCCCACCCTGAGGACAAGGTTCCTGACTCTGAGGACAATGGTTCTCACCGTGAGGACAAGGTTCCTGACTTTGAGGACAAGGTTCCTCACCGCGAGGACAAGGTTCCTCACGCTGAGGACAAGGTTCTTCACTCTGAGGACAAGGCTGCTCACCCTGAGGACAAGGTTCCTCACGCCGAGGACAGGGTTTCTCACGGTGCGGACAAGGCTCCTGACTCGGACGAGAAGGTTCCTCACCGTGAGGAGAAGGTTCCTCACACTGAGGACAAGGATCTTCACCCTGAGGACAAGGTTCCTCGCCCTGAGGACAAGGTTCCTCACCCTGAGGACAAGTTTCCTCACGCTGAGGACAAGGTTCCACACTCTGAAAACAAGATTCCTCACGCTGAGGACAAGATTCTTCACCCTGATGACAAGGTTCCTCACCCTGGGGACAAGGTTCCTCGCGCTGAGGACAAGGTTCCTCACGCTGAGGACAAGGCTAGTCACGCTGAGGGCAAGGCTTCTCACTCTGAGGCCAAGGCTCCTCACGCTGAGGACCAGGTTCCTCACTCTAAGGAGAAGGCTTCTCGAGCTGAGGACAAGGCTGCTCACGCTAAGGACAAGGCTCCTCGAGGTGAGGAAAAGGCCGCTCACGCTGAGGGCAAGGTTCCTCACCCTGAGGACAAGGCTCCGACTCTGTTGAGAAGGTTCCTCAACCTTAGAACAAGGTTCCTCACGCTGAGGAAAAGGTTTCTTCCGCTGAGGACAAGGTTCCTAACGGTGAGGACAAGTCTCCTCACCCTGAGGACAAGGTTCCTCACCCTGAGGAGAAGGTTCCTCACCATGAGGACAAGGTTCCTGACTCTGAGGACAAAGTTCCTCACCCTGGGGACAAGGTTCCTCACGCTGAGGACAAGGCTCCACACGCTGAGGACAAGATTCCTCACGCTGAAGACAAGGTTTCTCACGCTGAGGACGAGGTTTCTGACTCTGCATGAGGATAAGGTTCCTGACTCTGAGGACAAGATTCCTCACCCTGAGGACAAGATTCCTCACCCTGAGGACAAGGTTCCTCACGCTGAGGACAAGGCTCCTCAGGCTGAGGACATGGCTCCTCACGCTGAGGACAAGGTTTCTCACCCTGAGGACAAGTTTCCTGACTCTGAGGACAAGGTTCCTCACCGTGAGGACAAGGTTGCTCACGCTGAGGACGAGGTTCCTCACACTGAGGAGAAGGTTCCTCACGCTGAGGACAAGGTTCCTAGCGCTGAGGAGAACGTTCCTGGCACTGAAGACAAGGTTCCTCACGCTAAGGACAAGGCTGCTCACGCTGAGGAGGGGGCTCCTCACGCTGAGGACAAGTTTCCTCACCCTGAGGACCAGGTTCCTCACCCTGAGGACAAGGTTCCTCACGCTGAGGCAAGGTTCCTCATGCTGAGGACAATGTTTTTCACGGTGAGGACAAGGTTCCTCACGCTGGGGACAAGGTTCCTCATGCTGAGGACAAATGGAAGAAGCTGAGGACCTTGATATGAGCTCGGTTGCGCCGTTAGTGACGAGCCGAACATAGAGGACATAAAATCGGTGATATTTCATTCGATATTTGGTTGGGACAAGTGTTCAGTTGACGCTTTAAAATATTCAAGTTGTTATTTGGGTAATCGTTTGGTTGAATTTGTTATAGACGAGTCTCACATCATTGGGACGTGGACTGGAGATAGGAACATTCAAATTCAAAATGCGCATTTTATTTTTATGGATGTCCCGCATAATCTTTCAGATCATTCTGGACCTCTCTCAGAATCCCGATATTTTTTGCGCCTAAATGTTTTTGTAGTTTCTTTCCAACTTGACATTGCAGACTTGTTGTGAACAATCATGCGTTGAAATCGAGATTTGCGTTTCGGTTACATATATTCGCAGGCTATTACATAAGGTGTCTCTGATCAGGCGTGTCTGTATTAATTTGTTAATTGTATTTTACATTTTTGGTTTTGTTCCTGCTCAATACTCAATCAAAATGTAAGGGGCTGGTTTTAAACGATTGTTTCTGCGAGATGCTGATAGATTGCTCGACGATGGTTATCCTGCTTGGAGTTATTTGGAATTTACTCAATTTATTCAGCTGCAGATTGGTTTCAAGTGGGAGTTGCTGCCATCCAAATATGGAGGGTCGCTTCCCGTTTATAAAAGTACTAAGCACGGTATAGTCTGTTTATCTCTACCAGCTAGTTTGTTTGTTATGCGTCTAACGATATATTTTAATGTATCCCGTAATCCTGGACCTTCTCAAGAGTTTATTCAATTCGGCAAAATCTGCCTTTCTCAAATTCACCTCGGTCATGCCTCGATGCCCATACTGCTAAACAGAAGCTAGATTATTCTATAGAAATGTTGAGTTCAGTTTTTCAACCTTTTAACAACGTTGTCCTGAACCCACCTAACATATCTGTGAATATCCCAAACCGTGTTACTAACAGAGTAAGCACTCGTAATTATCGTCGTGTATGAGCCAGAAACCTGGTTAAAGTTAACATCTCTACTGATGGTTGCCTTAGCGATAAGACTCGGAATATCAAGAAACTCCACGGCCTTTCAGTACTTAATGCCAAGGTCAATCGACAATAAGTCCTTATTGATTAAGGATTATGTCGTTGATAGACAGATTGATATTTTAGCTATCACCGAAACATGGTTAAAAGTGGGTGAGACCAGTGATTTTATCACGCGGGATATTTGTCCGAAAGGTTACAAATTTATTCATTGCCCAAGGGAGTATGCTCGTGGGGGTGGTATTGGTTTACTTTTTAAGCAAAATCTTAAGATTAAGAAGTTGAAAACAAGATCTTACCAGTCATTTGAGTTGATGGAATTATTATTAAATGAAAACTCGTCTACCTTCAGGATTGTTGTTATTTACCGTCCTCCCCTATCATCGCTAAGGGACCATTCATTACTTATGACCGGGGGTGGGCTGGCAAAATTCAATTAACAACTAAACAAAATGTCCTTCCCCTCCCCTTCATCACAAAAAAAATCAATGACCCCCTTCACATAAATTCTAAAAAATAGTAACCCCCCCCCCCCCA